GGATGTTTACTTTCACGGCTACATCCGCAACATTCCCCTCCCCCTCCGGTTGCTCCCTACCTCCCCCTCCCTCCCTCCTTCCTATCTCTCGGAAGCTGATTCTTCCGCGAGCAATGGCGATTGGCGGCGCGTTCGGTTTAGTCGCGTGCCGAGACGCCGCCGAACGACAACGTCTCTGGCGACGTAGCTGCGTGGAACGTGCCGCGAATCCTCGTCGTCGTCGACGACACGCAGCAGCAGCCCCGGGATAGACGATCATCAATCCGCTGGTGGTATCGCGTGATTTCGGAGCGTAAAACATCTCGAGACCGGTTCACACACAAGGAGCACGTTTCTCCGGCCTCGAAACACACAGCCGGTCACGCGATCGTTGCGCCAACTTGCTATCGGTCCTTGTTGCCGAAAGATGATTCGGACTGTTTCGATCGACGAGGAGAGAGAATCTCCGATTAATCACGCAGTCTGTGAAACATTCAATAGGTATTCGACGTAGAAATTAGAATTCCGATCGACGAGGAAAGCTTTTCCAATCATCCACGAGAATTAAAAAGACATTTGGTGTTTGAAGATCTCCCGAATTTAATAGACGAGGAGTACTCTTCGGAATCAGTGATCAACGGTGAACATTCTGTGAACATATTTATCCAGCCACAGTGAAAGCTTTGATGTTGACGTGATCGAAGATTGAACCTCAATCTTAGCCAGATATCTTCGATACGATTAAGCCTGAAGGTGATAATACTGTTCTCAGTTACGTTAATCTCGAGAAGTTAGATTCTGTGATCGTGAACTTAGTCCTTCTAACGGCGGCTTGCATACGCTGTCTCAGAACCGTGGAATGAACAATGGTGTACCCTTTACCGCCACGATTTTCCAGAGTGGCACGTAATCCGCCGGATCTCGAGTCGCGTCAGCGAGTTATTAGTAATTCGTGGCACACTGGCCACCGTGTACACATGTCGGGTCTAGTATCCCTATAAACGTGCCGTTTCCTTTCGCTTGGTTAGCTCGGGAACATTGGGATTCAAGCGATCGTTTTCCACGTGAAACGGAAAGGTTCGATTGTGTTTCCGAATTCGGCGATACTTTCGAGTGTGCCCCATCGGTGTTCCTATTGGTGACCTTTCTTCGAGTGTCTTTAAATGTTTGCAAACGTCGAACGCGTATAAACCAGACCGGTTTCGAGTACATTTTTCCGCGAGACTGGAGCCGTCGAAGTTTCCGCGAAACGTGTGCTTGCCACGGGTGTGTTAAATCGTTCGATGAGGCGAACGTTGCCAACAAACAAGGCAGTGTAGTGTGTCGTGTTCTTGGTACGGTTCTCGTGGAGTTCAAGAATCGTCATGGCACCGGCCAGCACTTTAGACTGGTCAGAACCTTGCCAGCATTGGCGGTATCCGAAATTCTGTCCTTCGGGGCAGCCGAAGAACGAGAGAGCGAAAAGCGCGATGGAGTTGAGCAGCAAAGATGCGAACACCGCGTACAAAAAGTTCTGCAAGTTCTTGCGGAGGCTAGGAAATAAAAAACGTGAGTGTCTTCGGTTGGCTGGCGACCGTTTTGGGTGTCGATCGGTCGTAGGACATCGGGGTAAAATTATGAAGGGATATAGAGGAAGAACCAAACACTGCGCTTTATATCATAGTACTTCGATATTAATGGAATTTTTTGGAATTAAAATTAGAGCGACTGATTTTTATGTTAATAGTATAGAACTGATAAGTTATTGGTCTTCGACTGGTATCAACACTTTGTGCTTCTTAAACTGTAATTAAGTGTGTTAGGTATATTTGTTTTTGTATTGTTTACGGTCATATTCTCTTTGTACTTCGACGAGGCGTTCTGCCATTTACGTAGAAAAGGTTAGAAACACAAGTGGCGTCGGTGGCAAAGAAGGACTATTCAGCGAGAAGCAATACACGACCCGGTGACATTTATCCGTTGTTATTCATATTTATTTTTGTTGTACGCCTCGACCCACGCAAATATATTTTTTCATACGTCAAGAGCTGCGTCAACCTGACGTGCAACGTGGAAATGGAGATTGAGAGAAAAAAAAAGGGAGCGAAAGGCACAGTCGAGAGGTTTATACTCGTGCTTCAAGTAGCTTGCACTTGCTCACGATCAATTGTCACGACCCGTGGTGCACACTGGTATTGTGTATTTGTATTCACCGCCGTTGACCATCGTAGCACTCGTGCATGAGGTTAACAAAAGCTTATATCGAGTCCCGGAAATCTGACTAGTCTTTATGAAGTTCAATAGAACCCATTTCTAATTTCCTTGTTTCGATCAAATAAAGGAACCAATTTCTCGAACGTCAAAATATATTCCACATGCTGAAGTCTTTGGTCGAGATTCATCGTACTTCGCGATAGAAGAGAAGACTGAATCCAGGATCGTTACTCCGTGGAACGGAAGGCGATTCCGAAAGTTTACACGGCAGGCGAAGCACCGAAGAACTTTCCGCCGAAGAATTATGCCGGCGAAGTTCCGTACAACTGTTCAAATATTTATATGCCCGGCAGAAGTCGCTCGATAGTATTCCGTTTCTGCACAATCGAGCTATGTATAGCGCTGTTTCACAAACGCCTGGAGAACGGTTATTGCGAAAGTATTCCTTTTAATGTCATTTAAATAATATATACGGCCGCTAGAGCGTGTAACAGTAGAGGACGTTAACCGTTCGCCTATCGATGACAGAATCGAGAAGTATTGGTTTTCTTGCTAACGGTGTTACTTCGTCGACGTAAGTAAAAGTTCGAATAGATGTCGACGACTCCCTTTGACCGACAGGCGATCTTCTATACATTACTCTCTTCTGTAGATTTAGTTGTACTATACTCCTTGTTGCGATTACTGTGGAATTAATCCTTTGATACATCTTTGACCCATAGAGTATGGAGTTAGGTTATCTCTGTCTTTCGATGAGCCAGACATTTTCTTACAAATCCTCCGGTTTCAAAAATTAATGATCCGGAAAACATTGAATATATGTATACTTTGAAAATAGCATCGTTCGTAAAGGAATACGTGTTAAGTAGTTAATGTTTCTGTTAACCAGACGACTGTATCAGTTTACCCACGATATACGTAGTAGGTAGCAGAGTATGTAAAGTTCCCGTGTTTTCTCAACGAATTATCATAAAACGCACCGAGTATTCGTTGACATTTCCACCCTCCCTCTTCTGTTTCTGGTGGAGATTGAGGAGGTCCTTAGGGGGGTGCAGAGAAACCGAAAACTAGGTCAAACGGCGGCGATCTCTGGCAAAAGCGTCGCTTGGACCCGAGCCGGCTAAATCCAGCGTGCAACAAAAAGCGCAGGCAAACTCAGGCTCTCCGGATATGCACTTTCCCGTCGTTCTCCCTTTTTACCCGCGTTACGCGCGCATCAGAGGATCTCGACCTTTATCCCAGCCGCAGTGCTCCCATAAACGATAGCCCCTAACATTTCGCGAATCGAATCACTTTCACGGAAAATCCACCCTCTTCTCGTCGAGCAATTTCTGATCACCTAAATCATATACATAACTGTATCTCAGTCAGAGTTATCAAATTTTATGTATAAGTTTCAAAATAGGTAATAAATATTTAGTCATTTTTTGGAATAAATATTTATTATGCTAAACTTATATGGTCATCTATACACTAAACTGATCAGTAATTGGGTTCTGATCAAGAACTGGGTCCGTAACACTAGGTAGCCTAGTAGTAGCTCTCGAACATAAAAATTCACATAACCAAATTCAATCTAAAAAAAAAAACAAAAAAAACAAAAAAGACCTGTAGCCTGTTCGCCACATTCGCGCGAATTTCACGGCAGAAACTGCAAGACGACACTAAGAGAGAGGTTAGTCGGGAGAAGGAAGATGTTTTCGATATGTCTAAAAGCGGACCACGTTCCAGGTGGAATCTCATTGTCGGTTGCGCACGTTCCAGTGATCCATCGAGTGACAGTAAAACCGTGTTGTTGCCGCGGTGCCTCGCGTCGATCGGCGAGAAGGCAACGTGTTTTTTGTTATCCCTGGTCGGGCGCCGTACATCGCCTCGTGCCCCGGCGAATTTTCGGTTCCCTCGATACATACATCGTGTGCTGGTGGCCACAGGCCCACTCTCTCCGTCTCTGTCTCTCTTTCTAGCAACGGATTATTAGAGGCGTGAAATATATGGCCGCAGCGTCGGTTATTTTCAGCCGAGGTTCAATGAGAAAACCGGTCCGCAAATGCCCGGACCTCGTATTATCCGTCGTTGCATCTTATCAAGGTTATCCCTCTTGTAACAGCGCGTTCGAGCAGCTAGCAATAGAATTACACGCGTCTAAGAACACGTCCGTGCAAACCTGGTACACGATATACAACACCCCGTTGTCGGAAATGCGCTGCTGGATCAACGTGCTATTTTCAGGTTTCTTCTTCGGTGATACAATGAGAGTTTCTTACAATTTATCCATCCCGAGAAGCGTTTCCGTTTAGGGGCTTGTAAATTTTGCACGTCTTGAGCGAAATCTATCCCTCGGCGGGGTTATGTAACCGGTGCTTTGTAGTAATTTTTCTTGAGAATCGATCTCTTGTACTGCCTCGATCGGATGAATCATCTCGTATTACCAGTCGGGTAATTATTACCTGTTTTGTTACATTGAATTGCGATTCCTGAGAATTTTCTTTTTAAAATCCCCAAGTTCTGTGGAACATTTTGATTCGATGAACCATGGAGATTATAGATTATTTATTCAAGTGAATTTAGAATGCTCTAAACTGTGTGAATGACAAATTCAGATATGAAGTATAAACATAATTTCAACGCCATAATAAGAGGGGTAGGTTAAGGGTAGCTGTAAAGTAGCTAAAGATTTTTTTTACGTCCTCTGTGCCACTTTGTAATATACCCTTTAATGCTTCTATAAGCTTCTTAACGCATCTAGAATATTTAACCCTGTTGCATTCGCTGTACTGTAGCGTCGTGCTTTTCGATTGTTTCTATGGGTGGTGCGATGCACAATGCAGGCAAGGATGGCAGCAAAGTGACAACCGTGGTGGCTACCCCCGGTGCTGGTCCAGACCGTCCCCAAGAGGTCGCCTACACAGACACAAAAGTGATCGGCAATGGCAGCTTCGGCGTTGTCTACCAAGCGAAACTCTGTGATACGGGAGAGATGGTCGCCATCAAGAAGGTTCTCCAAGACAAACGGTTTAAGGTAACACGACACGAAAAATATTGTTTGCCAGATTCACGTCTCTCTTTCTCTCTTTCTCTCTCTCTCTCTCTCGATTATATAAAATTTGATGGCACCTGAATAAAATTTTTTTTTAAAGCGCATGATAAGATCAATCGTTACAGACCAGGTATACTAATTGGCTTTCTGTGTTATTTATAGAACAGAGAATTGCAAATCATGCGGCGTCTTGAGCACTGCAACATCGTGAAGCTAAAATATTTCTTCTACTCTAGTGGTGATAAGGTAACTATCCTAGTTTCATCGATTCGATTGAACCGACTCGATAGTTTATATACCAACAACTCGGGAATGCAATTTGTTAGTTTATTCTTACAGTTACAGAGGGTGTCTCGTAATTCGGAAAGAAGGAATCGATTTTCTTTTCATTTAATCTCGCTAATGAGTACACCGTCTATGGGATTTGTTGAGATAAAATAATGATTTTATTTCTTCTTTATTTATTTATTTTTATCACTTTTCCACCTCCTTATTTTCATTTTTTTTCAACTCATAGGTGAAAGTTCACGCCCTTTCAAGTAACGAAAATTCAGAATCTCTCTTTGCAATGAATTCTATAAGTTCTAATTCCGAGTGTAACGTATTAGTTTAATGCATGCGGCATTGTTGTGTTATTTTTGTAGAACATCTTAAACGCAACTAATCCAGTTTTTCATGTGGACGTAAGTGACAAGCGTACCCAGTAGTTTGAGAGAGTCCTTTTTGAGAACACTTAGGCAGTTCTGCTTCACAAATAGAAACGATTGTGTATAAAGAAAGAAACAAAGCAATGAAATGTAAATCACACACGACACTTATATTAACGATATCTCGATGATGAATAACATATAGATCTCGATAATCTGAGTCCTAGTAGCTAACGCAGCTTCGCTAGTTATAGAAGAATATCTTCTGGAACAGTGTGCATACGGTTCAAAGGTACACTGCGCATGAACTACCCGATAAAAAAGTTCACACTAATATCGATTTCCATGCCGGAACAAGCGCTATACGCATTGTTTTGCTTTACAACGATGTGCCTTTGAGACGACACACACAAACACACCTTTACCCGATGCACTTACTTGGACCGTTTTATAATCGTCGCCCCCGCAAATTTCTTTTAGAAGGACGAGGTTTATCTCAATCTAGTCCTGGAATACATACCCGAAACTGTGTACAAAGTCGCTCGACATTATAACAAAAGCAAGCAGACGATACCGATCAGTTTCATCAAGGTAAGCGAAAATGTCTCTGTACGAAGATACACCATCAATTTAAATACCTGTCGGAGCAAAATCAATTGACCGTCCGAAGCTATCCCACCATTCAGAAGCTATTCTATATCAGAGGCGGGAAACGCAGTCGTGGAACGGACAATTGATTCCGAATCGCAAGTTTCACGAATAAATTAACGGGAAACGTGTGTATGGTTTTTCGTTGTTCCAGCTGTACATGTATCAACTGTTCCGTTCCCTGGCGTACATACATTCCCTGGGGATCTGTCACAGGGACATCAAGCCACAGAATCTATTGTTGGACCCGGAGACCGGCGTTCTGAAACTCTGCGACTTCGGCTCGGCCAAGCATTTGATCAAAGGGGAGCCTAACGTGTCTTACATATGCAGTCGCTACTATCGCGCGCCCGAACTAATCTTTGGTGCTATTGACTACACTACAAAAATTGGTACGTTTCCATACGTATGGGCACTGTCAAACTTACATTATATAATGAAGAAATTCCGTTTTTTCTCCGGCAGACGTGTGGAGCGCAGGTTGCGTACTCGCTGAATTGTTGCTTGGCCAGCCGATATTCCCCGGCGACAGCGGTGTAGATCAGCTGGTAGAGATCATCAAGGTTTTAGGCACACCGACCCGGGATCAGATACGTGAGATGAACCCGAACTATACCGAATTCAAATTCCCACAGATTAAGTCGCATCCTTGGCAAAAGGTAGCCTATTTAAATTCGTTCACTTGTAGACAGAAAGTATAAGTAACACGTAATAAGAATAGCCACTGGTGACACACAAACACATCACACACGATGTGTTCGGCTGTCTAAAACACACGGTCTATGTATCTTTCCAATTTGTGGCCGGCTAGATCGTTTTCTGATTTCTATTCCTATACACGTTTCTCATCGTTCTCGTGACTAAAGAACAGCCGTGCAAGAGGCGTCAGAATGAAAACGGGGGCCGTGTTAAGTTTTACAGGGTATCCCGAAGCTCTCTCGCCAAAGTGGCCTATGAAACTTAACGCAGCCCTTAGCGTGTTAGAGTTAACTGGTAACCGTGATTGCATGAGAACAGAGAGAAGTTGTTCCGAGGGTAAATGGGCTCTATGCAGTCTCTTGTTCCTTCTAACTAAACACGGTCTTGCTACACCTGTCGCTATAATCACATTTCATCAATACATGTACTCGTGGTTACAGTTTATGCTTCAGCGAATGAGTGGACTAAAGTGTTCCACGGAGCACCAAAAGATTAGAGTAAGTGGTCCCCTGTTGAACAACACGATGTTTCTTACATTATATGGCTGGCGAATTATTCCTGTATTTATTTTTTCTTTTTATATTTCTCTATTGGCCCATCGTACTAACCAATCGTAACCAACTTTTCAGCATCTGAACGGTCATATAGGATATATGCCCAATTACCGCTAATCGATCCGTCGAACGGAGGATGACCAACCGAAATAAAGATACCTTCATTCGATCTTACATCATACACATAAATCATTCGGCGTGCACCTTTGCCAGATCATGTAGTATCCATTTTTTCTTCATTCTATTTTTCTCTCTATCTTTGTATATCTTACACGTATCGTCATTTATCACTTCGCTCTAACGTTACTAACCGTGAATTGTTTATAAAACATGTTGTGATTTACTCAAACTGTCGCCGTATCACTTACTCTAATGTTCTGGTGGTAATCGAAATCTGTATTTTCCAGTGTCTAAACGAACTCGGTGCAACCTCAATTCTTGATCCGTTGTTGTAAGAATGACGAACGATTGCCTGAACGTTTGCGATCGCACACACTTACGTTTACTGTTCCACCGTTTTGACATGTTTTTGTTCTTCATGCAAGTATCTTCGTGGCTAAATGATTCCTGTTACAGTTGTCGGTTGTGAAACGTATGATATATTCTATAAATCTTTTCTGAAAAATAGTAGATACAGATGGGTGGCTTATTGCCAGATTTTTTCCAGTAAACATTACACCGGGCCTAAACATCTCGTGTTACTAATATAACGGTGATTGTTTCCACGATCTCTGATTAAAGAGGATTGTCTCGTGTTGTCTAATAATTAAAAATTCATCAATTCCCTGACACGCTTTCGTACGCTAAAACTCCACAAAGTATCGAAATAATAGATGTCAGTTTTTCTTTTTCACGTAACCCACCAGAGTACGCCCCCATAATACAACTAAAGGATTTACTTTTTGTGAGTAATATAACGTTCGTTCAGAGTACGAGGGACAGATCGTAAAGAGCATCCTCAGTGACCCGTCACAATGTCTAATACACTGATTGTATAAAATTTCAAACAGACCTTACACAGAAAGTGTTGCTACCGTTTTACCGCTTTCTCACAGGACTACGACAGTCGTGTGTTGCCATGCTAGTTTCTATTCAGCCGCATAGATCGTTTTGTTGTATCCGCGTTCTGACGTTACCACCCCAATGATTTCAGGTGTTCAGGGCACGTACGCCCCCGGAAGCGATGGAACTGGTCGCTCGGCTCTTAGAGTACACGCCGTCGTTACGGATGACACCGCTGCAGGCGTGTGCCCATTCGTTCTTCAACGAGTTGCGGGAACAGGGCACACGGTTACCAAACGGCCGGGAGCTGCCGCCGTTGTTCGACTTTACAGAGCAAGAGTTGCGAATTCAGCCAGCTCTGAACTCGGTCCTAATACCGAAGTACATGCAGTCTTCGGACAATCCTGGAGGCCAATCGGAAGCCACGAGTGCTGCCGCGGGGGCTAGCGGTAACTCTAGTGATAATAACGTCAACACCAACACACCCTCCACTACACAGAATACAGACCCCAGCCAATCGAATATGGCTTAAGCTGCTTTATTTTTTAAAAACGTTACAAAAAAACTGAGAGAGAAAGAATTCACGTTTAGAGCCTAGCCTTTTAACGGTGGCGAGATGAACAGAACGAAAGAAAGAAAGAAAGAAAGATTGTCTTCTGAGGAGGATGTCCCCCCCCCCCGAATTACGCCCCCGTTGTAAATTGAACTCAATGCAATGGCGATACGGATTGGTCTTCGAGCTTTGTTCGCTTGGATATATTAAATGAAGATTAAACAATGATTTCCCATGTAACGGGGTTAGCTATGAATACGACTCCAGTGGCGCGCGAACGCTTGATTGCCACCATATTGCCAAGTTGAATTCAATGTATATATATTATAGGAAACTGGCCCGTAACCTCTTTAAATGATAATTGCTATAAAAAAAAATGCGAAGTTTTCTAGTTGAAAATGTGTAATCTATAATGTCTAGTAGCGCGTTAACGTCGCTTGCGTCGTCATTTTATTAAAAGAAACACACATACACACATATACACACAAACACTGCGAAAACCTGCTTAATGGGTGCCGATGTAAATCGACGGATAAACTTATGATGATAATCGCTACACTCTCGGCTCGCAAGACATTTCACTCGCCAAGACTGAAAACTTGCGTTTTTTTTTTACCGTGCGTACATTCGAACGATAAAACGACGATTGTATTATTATAATACCGGTCCGTGTTTCGTCCCGAGCGAAATAGCCTGTAGGTGGAACATTCGGTGTAAAGACAGACGGTTTTTCTTTTTAATTGCGTTCAGATTCGAACATTGTCGGATGAACAGGGAAGTAATACGCGATACGAAAAGAAACATAAACGGGCAGAGAGAAGTCTCGGCGTGATCACCTACACACACGTCGTACATACATGAACACACACGAGGTATTTGCGTGCACAATCTCTATTTATCGTAGGACAAATTTCGCGATGCGAAAGACATGCTGCGTACATCAGCACGACGAAAGACAACCTAGAGGATTAAAATAAAAATAAAATGCAGAGGGGGGATGCTTCCGTTGTCGAGATACGATAAAAAAAAAATCACCAAAAAGTCGTCTATATTCGTGCCTATCCCCAGTCGTACTTCGATGATTTGACTCGCTGGTCTCAGCCCCTAATCACGCAGTTCAAATACCTAGCGTTATTCTTACGAGGTATCTACGATTGTTACGTATCTTTGGAAGCAAAAACCTTTTCTAAACTCGGGTTTACCAAAATTTTTCACCCTACGCGACGAACTTCTACGCAATTTAGCGGAGGGATTTATTTTTTAAGCAACACACATGTACACATTACCGCGGACGAGGTGTAGGATGGACCTAACGCAATGGTTCCTCAAGCCATATATACACAAGGACGATGGTAAGTTCCTTCATTTTCATACTGTCTATATAGTTAGTAAATCTTCTACAAAATAGATTGTTCATCCTGATGAATCCAGAAATCAATTGTACTTCGATGGTTTATACTCGGTAACGCAAATTTCTATAAAGTAATTGGGTCTATCGTATACCTCATCTGTACTTACACAGTGTATTTTGTTTTTTTCTTTTTTTTCGATGCGATTCGACTATGTTTTAACTGTTATTCGTCTATGCCAGATTTGTACGCGACTACAGAGTAAAACGAAACGATTCTTTCTCGTTGCATGCATACTGTACGCACGAAGTAACAGTCATGCGGGGCCTCACTTCCGGTGTGATCTTCCTCTGTATACAGTATTCTTTCCTTGTATGTTATTCCCGTTTGATCACTCGAACGAGCATCATCCAAACGAGAGGGAAGAGCCATATTTGTGTTCCTGAAATCGACCTTTTGTCGACGGTCTTGTAACACGCCTCTCAGCTCGAATTCCCTCGAAGATGAAAAAAAGGGGGGGGGTAGGGTATCGGAGTTGTAGAACTTTTGTATCGAGGTAACAAACAAGAAAAGAATACTGTACTGTTCGCCAGAAGAACCAAAACCACGGGTTTTGTTTCCCCTGGTGAACCGTGTGAACCTCGAGGTTTGAACGTACACACATACAACAGGAATACGTACGAATGACTATTTGTACAATTACGCGTTAACGGCGAGACGACCCTGTGCAGCTGGACCTTCGGGACATTGCGTGACTAGCCCACTCGTACACATCTACATATCATTGCGTCGCAAGAGATACATGAAGGAAGGCTGCTCGCCGACAAAACGAAGATGTCTAGGATCGATTCAGTTCCTTTTTTACGGAAAGGACGACGAGAGTTCAGGGGAACGAGAAAAAGAGACGATAGTAAAAGAAAAAAAAAGCGATAGACACAGAGAGAAAGAGAACGCGCGAGTTAAAGAGTGTGTGAGAGGTCTTAGGAATTCGTTTTAGAGTTTTATGAATGTTGATGATACAACTTAAGTTTTAAAAATTAACCACTTCTTTTTTTTTTAGTAATGTACCTCATTACTAGGAGAAATTACGTCAATTTATTATTTCTTTGTCCTGCCGGCCCCCGAAAAGGGGAGAGTGTAATAAGTTTTTTGATACGGTTCTGAAACACGATCCATATGCAAACCGGGAACGTTTTCTCTCTTTTTTTCTTTTTGTTACGTTTTACATACCGGCTCGAACGACCAAGAGTTTGGCTAAGCTGACGGATCATGGAACATTTATTTGTTCGGCATTTTCATGCCTGTATACACCATCCACCCCCTCTCCCCCCCACCCCCGATCCCTCGAAACGCGTGGAATACGTTATTTATTTTCGAACCTTTACGGATCGCTTGTAACAGTGGAACATCAGGCGAGCTGTTCATAATGGTTATATTTGCGAGAAAAGAAAATTGAAAATTCGATGGAATGTATTCTGTACAGACGGAACTCGCGATTGAAAGATTTAATGTTTAAATTTTCCGTGTGCTGGCCACGACTGTACAGCTGGCTTGATGTGTCTTGTATCGTGTTAGTCAACTGTTCGTTGCGACCGAGACTTAACGCGAACGTTTGTACAGGGTGGACACAGCCGTTGTTTAAGAGACGCGAACGTTCGACTAATTACATTCAACTAATATCGCTTCTTTCGATATTTTCAGGCCGATAGAACATGTGGTAAATTCCAAGATAAAATGGAATAAAAAAAGTCCCGAATTTAGCTGTGAATAATCTAGACAAAGAAAGATACCGCGAACGAACGAAAGAGATTTCAAAAGATTCATACTTATGAATTTTTCAATCTCGATGATGCCCGGCGTCCAGACGATCGCCAGTGACTTTGTACAATTCTCTCCGCTAATTTTGTACATTCAACCGCACGCTTGGTGTGAAAATCTTGAGCAGGTCGAGATTGGCCAAAAATCTGTGTGTATAGTCGCAGTTAAGATGAACACAAACGTAACGAGGCGAAAAAAAAAGATAGGCGAATCGCTCCCGTGAGAAATGTCTCGTGGATCGATTCCCCCTTTTTTTTAAAGCTTTTCTTGCGTTCTCGTTTCTATTCTTCCGAAGTTCGAACACTACTCGACCAGAAACGGACGTTTAACAGAGAATAGACGGAAAACCGTGTGGGAAGAGCCCGTGTAAAATATTGAAAGTCTTAATAGCGGTTAACGAGTAACATTGCTGCATTGTTATACAGAGAGAAATGGAAAAATTGATCAGAGGGAAGGATGAAGGGGGAAAAGAACACTATTGATTATTTGAACACTATAATGCTCGTCGTTTTACCTGAACACCACACATCATCACCGCCGTTATACCATTGCAAAAGAGAACGAAAGAAAACCATCATTACGTTCTTTTTGTTTCTTTTACCTTTATTACATCATGTCGCACTCTTTTCGATGCATCTAGTGAATAAAATGTAATAATTCTGTAAAGAAAGATTAATAAACTAATTTAATATGTATATATATGCATATATGTATGCGTGTGTGTGCATATGTATATACGTAAAATTGCAGAGTATTTAAACACGTTGTACCGGTTCGAGCGAGACTATGTTAGGAGAGTGCTTTCTCATTCGTTCGGCCATGAATCACTTTTGCATTTGATCGACTCATTCGAGACGAGGATGGCTGAAACAAATGGTGATGCAATGGTGCCTCGAAAAGTATTTGCGGGACGAGGCAGTCGAAAAACGTTTTTTGAGGTCTCGGGAGATAGATCGATGGCTTTCTTGCTCCAATCGGTAGAGGTAATGATCGATAGGGATAATGTTGAAGCATCTTTCGAGGCACCACTGTACTTTTCTACGACTGTATAGTTATAGATCAAATGACACAGAGATTAGAACCTCACTGAAAAACCACTGTCCCATTACGGATTAGATAGATTCGTCCGAGCTACTCACGACGTTCTTAAGTAGCTGTTTCTCTTCACCAAAAATCTACCCTTTTCTGCCGGTTTTACGGCAACCCCGAGATGGACCACTAACTGTTTGCTACTACGAAAGAAACGTTCTGTTCGAGCTATAACGTCGAACGAACACGGCGAAAGTATAATATCAGGGCAGTGTGTGTCCGATCGTACGCTCGTAGAAGTACTCGAATTGTAGTTTATCGTTACGATTATTTTGATTTGTATTGTTCTTGGTCGACGGTATCGTAAAACAACAGCGACAAATATTTAAATGATTCACAGGTGCGTGTCTTGTAAGTTCGTTGCGTTGCGAGCTACTTTATGATATTTCGACTGCGACGTATGTTTTTAAATTATAAGAGTGATTAATTTAATACGAAATTCTTTAATAAAAAAAAAGGAATAAACCGAATAATTGAAATTGGTCGATCTGAGAGCGGGATATACAGTTGTTTACGTATAACTTCGATTCCTTTGTCTCTTCTAGTTTCAACATATACGTACGTGTATTGTCGTTTTTTACGACAAACGATCGTCAGACGCAATTAAATTTCGTATTAAAGTAAAGATCACGATTCTGCAGGTTTACTTGTATCGACGCTTGCTGTATACTCGCTGAATAATCTCATTTTTTACCGTTCTTCCTACGTTTGTTATAGTCGAGTCTATTTCGCTATTGTAGGTAGTGAATTATATGGAGAATTAAAGTACCGGGTTAACGATGTAAATCCCTATTGGACGATTTTCATTGACGATTGCGAGGCACTTCCGCCACCTTTGGAAATTTCTCCGATTGTTCGTCTACCAAACCACTATAGTAGAGACGGGAGAATTTATTTGTTCACGGTCACTGTTTCCCACATATTATTTTTTTTATCTTTTCTAAATCTCAAATAGGCGAAAAATGTTTGAAGTTTTTGATAATACAGAGTGTCTCGATGTTTTACCAAAGAAAATTATATCACTGTAATCTTGGACGTCCTGTACATTATGGTCCGAATCGAGACAAATCTTCCTAATCTGAAAAGTTCTGAACAAATCAAAATCTCCAGTCTCTACTATACTACACGACATACTGGACACGTTCCAATCGAAACGGAGGACTTTTCAAGTTTGATCGACGTTCATCCACTAATTCGAGTCAATTCGAAGCGGTTTTTTATACACGCTTTTCCTCGTTTCTACGAACCCTCTATCAAGAGAATCGATTTAGCGAGATCATCCGATTTTGATACACGTGACTATTTCCGTCAGCGCGTACGTGGTTGTCTTATTTGCGACAAGATCGAGAAAAGGAGGACCGCGTAGGCGATGCTTAGACGTTTATCCTAACTCTGTACGATAGTTCGACGTTGCATACTTCTCGATCATTATCTTCGATACCTAATCGTGATAAGTCACGTTATATACACATATATATGTTTAGCTCGAGGCGTAGGCTTAAGATTCGGTCGACGCGCGTTCTAGCAATTTCGATCAATCGAAAACCGGTGCGTGTGTTTATCGAAAAAACGGCGAAACGAAATAAATCAGTTTCTCGCGTGGTTCAGCGTGTGCACCATTTTTCACGGTTAGAAACGGAACACGAAGGACGAATGTTTGGTGAACGAAGACCGACGCGTTCTCGTTACTTCTCGATGAAGACTATTTTAGGGGACGCTACCAACAAAAATGTTCGAATTTTTATAAGCTTTTTACTTTTGCACCACTAGCGATTCTGTCCGTACTTTGTCACGTTTACACGCGTGTCTTACCTCTACGTAAAGAAGGTGGGGAGCCGAGTCGACGAGACGTCGAAGAATAACGTCGCAGACGACCAATACTTAAGGCAGTTCCACTATTTTCCTAAGTCATAGAAATTATGTTAAGAAACGAACGACAGGTGGTGGAACACGATCGAGGCACGGTGTGTAACACCTCCGCATGGCCAGGTTTGGCCTGATTTTCATTGAAAACTCCAAAACCAAATGTATCGGTAACTTTGAACTCAACACATCCTGATTACTTACCTCAACAAATAGTTACAGCGAATAATCCACTATAACCAGAAGTATTACGATCCCAAGAATATGCACACCTGTGTCCCGAATTAGCGTGCAGTTTCGGAGGTGTTACCGTACCGTCCGCGATCGTACACTAATTACACTACTGTGTGTAACCGTAATGTCAGGACGTGTCAGGTCCAGCACAATTAGATCTAGTAAACATTTCTTCGAAATCACGGTTTCGTACAGAACCTCCGTTCCTATTAAAACAAAGGTTAATTAAGTACATGCTTAGGACAATGCCTACGGACATCCTCTTCAGAAATATTTCTTTTGGGGGGGAATCGGTTCGATCAAGTCGAAGATATTGTTCTCCACGGTTCTCGTAACTGGGGGGGGGGGGGGGCACTATTCGAGCCACATGTGTGTCACAGGCAGTGCTCAGATTCGATTGGAACAAAACCGAACATAGACACACCATATATGAACTTCATAGCACAACCCCTTGTCCTCAGCATTAAGCAGTTCGCCAGCCATAATCTCGTCATGAAAATTCGGTATCATCGTGTGACGCCTCGTATAAGCGACACGCGGGGGTTCCACGAGGCATGGGGGACAAACACAAGATCAAGTTTCACCAAACACGAGATCGTGCCAACCCGATCCCGACCGATCGGTCCCACCCCCTTCGATGGCTCATTCTTACATCATCATCGCGCGGTACCTTCACCGGCGTGAATCAAAATCCCGCCCGGACGAGTTAGCGCACCTGACATCATTTCTACACGATCTCCTCTTTAACCCCCTCCCCCCTACCCCGGACTGTCACGGCCCTCTATTAGAGATTTTGCTTTTCTTGGTTCAGACGCGAGACAAAACACGGTAAAAGAATGCGAATGTGGGGACAGTGTGCTAAGCACAGACGCGAAGGAGGAATCGTCGAGGCAGGAGAAGGAGAAAGTGGAGGACAAACAGGATGAAGAACCAGAGCAGGGGAACCCGGAAAAGAAGGACGAGGAAGAAGAGACGGAGCAGAAGCAGCAGGTGGACGGATAGGAGACCTGTAGCCCCCACTTGCGACAGGAAGAGAACCCGTACACTCCTTTGAAAATAAATATAGTGACTTGTTGAAAAATCTATCTAGGACGGCAGCGCTTCGCTGAACGGTAAACATTTAGGAATCGCCTTATACGAGACCTACTTCGAACGGTAATAATTAAGATATTTATCGAACATACGAGAAAGAAGAATGAAATCGATCGATGGTAAGAATATTGTCCCTTGGATAAAGAATGGAGAAATCGGAGAACGTTATCGCTTTAGTACATACGTTTGCAAAAGGGTATATTGTATCGTTATTACTTATCATTCCAATAAATTTAATTGATCGCTGACTACCCGAAACGATACAACATCCAACTGTTGATCGAACCGTGGAACGGTAGCTTGAAGAAGTCACTATATTTGTTCTATTAACTATAGTACGGTGACGATACAGACGAGATGACGACATTGTCTGTGGAGTGGAGGATCTCTGCCCCTTTCGGTATGGCTATGGATTATATAATACAAGGTCCTTTAATTAAACCCCGCGAGAAGAGTGTAGTCGACGATTGAGTGCTTACTTAAGCTGGTGGGTCGATTATAATTAACGGTCCATCAATAACCGACTATATATTGTTCTTCTGAATTATCGTCGACTATAATCGTCCGTTGAAATCGATACATAGACTGCACACAGTTGGACTATATCCCCGAGTCTGCGACTCATCGACTATACTCTTCTCTCTATCTGTCGATCATAGTCACTTCTTCGACACAACCACAGTCGATGACCGACTTGTGTACACCATCTTTTTCGCTCACGGTACCTATTTGTCGACTATCGGACGCTTCCTCGAGCTTGTATGACTATGGTTGATGGCCTTTCGGAGTGTTTCACCTTAGAGACTGCGAGTCGACTATAGTCATCGCTGCACGCTTACTTGAGAGCCACCAGTTGAATCTAGTCAACAGCTACCGGAGTAACTTCGACGCAAAGCGGTTGACTATAATCAATCAGCGTTAACGTGCTTGAATCAAGTGACAACGATCGTTCGCAGCCGCCAAGCCGTGCACTTACCACTAATTATTAATCGATGACTGCGGGGAACCCAAGCTACGTGTCCTGTTTCGAGACAACTAAAACACCATCGACTTTCACGGGGCTGGAATATCTCCATTTTTAACAAAACAAGACGTCCATTACACACGAATTAATCATCGACAGCACTGTTCGCCAACTGTACACGCTATACCGAGAGGGTTGCCGTTACTTACGACTGTATGATACTAGGGAAAATTGTGTTAATATACATAGTAATACGTAAAGAAGATATTTACGACGCAGTTAAAGATATAAGAAAAAAAAGATTAAGAAAAAAAAAGCAACGGCGAAGGAGGAGGAGGAGAGGGAGAAAGAAGAGGAAGATTAAGTAAGAAATATACAGAGAGAGAATGAGGAGTAGCGTTAGTTACTACCGTGAACACACACTTCTATAAAATAATTTACGCTGATTCGATGAGGCTGAGGAAAGGAGAGGGGAACAAACGCGTTTCCTGTTTCTGTGTGCTCGTGTGCGAGTGGCTGAGATCGCGTGTGTGAGCTTAGATGACGGAGCGCCTGTATGCGTGTAAGAAAGAAAATTACGCCCTCGGACTCGTTTCGAGATACATAGTAATGGAAAAAAAAAGAGAAAAAGAGAGGGAGCGAAAGATTGGAGGAACCGAGAAACAAAACCGAAAGCATGTACACACATATATATGTATGTAATGTATAAATACAGAGCGTATATATATATATATATATATGGAATATGTATATGTATGTATAGGTAATTAACACGGCGACACTGTATGGCGATTTAAAAGAGGCGAGAATTAACGAAAGAAAAGAGAGAGAAAGAGAAAAAAAGTAGCGAATATATATATATATATACATACTTTCTATCGTTCCGTTTTTTCGCTACGTTTTCTCGGATGTGTTTAGTTTCACACGGTCACACACAAAACACACGATAGTCGATATGGTAATTGTAGAATATTAATGGATATGTGTTTAAGCGAGGATCGATCGCCTCCATTTGCGAGGCTCTATATGATAATATTATTATTGTACATTTTGTGGTTTATTTAACAATAAAACGATAATGTTAACGGACTGCGATTTCATTCGCGATGACCACCCGTACAGGAAGAACCGTAAGTACGTACACAATGAACTTTAGGAAACATATTTATTTTATCGAATATAAAGAGTAAATACGCAAAACACGCGTTATTCGATGCCAGTATCGCGTCGCTAATTGATTTCGATGTCAACAGGATCTTTTTCACGCGAGATCTTATAAGCCCTTTGAGCCTAAATTCACACTCCCACTATCGATAGATCTACTCGGATCCAGCAATGTATCAATTCAAATTGAGATTCTGAAAAAACTTACTTCCTGTCACGCGAGAATATAGTCTCGACTATGAACCATTAGCGAGATCCTTAAACCAGCTCAATCCAGAGGACAGGACGCAATTTCACGAAAGAACAATTCATCGAGGAACCTAATGAACGGATAGAAGCCTGAATACTTGGTCCACTAATCGACCGACTCGAATCCTCGATGAACGATGAGCTCGTCGATATAGGAGACTCCAATCGAGGATCAGCCAAGGAGTACTTTTCTGATCATCGCGCCGCTGACCACCTCGTCCCCATCACGAGACTCTATGCACTTTCTGCTGCAAAGGTACTGCAGCAAGGGCAAACGGTACTTGCCACAGAAATCGACAAACTTGACGTGTTCCACACGATTGTTGAAGAAGACACCTGCAAGAAAAAATGTCGGTCGGAATTTATACAAACGCACGATCAGGCGTACGTATCGGCTGTCGTTGCACCGATAGCGGCGTTGAACTTTGAACGGATACTAGACGCTGACCTTTACACTTCGGATTGACGCAACAGTGACCGCTATTTAGATATTCCACCAGGTTTCTCGGTATAGTTTCCCCGTCATACTGAATGTCGCTGGTCTTGATCACCCTGGCGGCAAGTTCAAGGAGAGACGGAGGATTGTGCGTCATGTCCGAGACGAATCTGACTACAAGGGGATTGTCCCTGAGGGATAACTGAAGGAAGAAATACGGAATGTCAGCGTTTATCAGCTGGATACTCGTATACAGAACGGTCTTCGTTTAAACGATCAAATTATACCAATACTGTGAATAATTGAAACTTTAACTGATAACTCTGATAAGTCATCTTTTTTTTGTTGATTAAGCAAGCTGCGATTTCAACATCGTTCTAACGCACATAAGAATATATAGGGCGTACTGAAATAATTTGACAGTTTAAACGATCCTATACTTTTCAATGAAGAGCTACCTCGGTTAAACACTTTAACCTGATGATCTCGGTAGGCAGTGTCCTAAGTCTGTTCTTGTGAAGCAGCAACGATTTCAGGCTAGTTAAGTTTGCTATGGAACTTGGCAAAGTGTCCAACATGTTGTCGCAGAGCACCAACGCTTGCAGCGACTTCAGCTGGCCCAGCGTCGATGGCACTTCCGTCAATCGGTTGCCTCCCATCGACAGTACGTGCAATCTAAAAGCAGATACGAAAATTTACTAGATGTTACCGTAGTTTCGCCAGACATTGTTGGTTCAGACACGCTGCGCAAACAAGCTGATTACGGAAACAAACGGGTGCGCGTATTATCTGAGAAAATATTTGCCTATAGAAAGTAAATTTTGCGATAGTTTCAGTGAACTACGATCAAGTACACTGACTTACAGGGTTTCGTCAGTGGGCCGAGATGAACGTCAAACGTTATGAATTTATTTGCGATAAAAGTATACATTCCATTATCTACTCTTCGGAATAGACGAAAAAAAAGGCTGTAGTAGCCAGACACACTTCATTTCGTTTTTCAAGTCGCAACATCGTCGAAAATATATGCGTTTAGTTAATAGAGACTGTTGGTCTTGTTTTAAATTATACAGCGATATTAACTTTACGGAAAAATTTTGTAACGGTATTTAAATAATCCAGCCCCTTTTGCATGTACCCTCACGAGCAAAGTCGGCTTCCGCTAAAGGAAAAAGTGGCGAAGGGGAAGCGCCTCCTAAAATTTGGTATCGGGAATTATTGAAATTTATGCCTAATTAATATTCGATTTAACATTTCTTTCAGTACTTGAAATAAATTTACCAAGTGGTAGGAGGCTTTTCTCTTACGCCACGTTTTCTCCTAGTGAAAGCCGAGCTTGCTCGTGGGTGTATGTGTACCATATTTTGGTGACGTGGCCGTGAAAGTGTTAAAAGCACAAAACGGGACTCAATTTGTACCTTTGCAACTTCCAAACATCCTTGCTGATCTCATTGATTTGATTGCCCCCCAAGTAAAGGTACTTAATCTCCGTGAGCTCTAGCACTTGCTCCGGAAAGTCTGTCAGTCGGTTCCCGCTGAGGTTCAGCTCACGAAGACCCGACAGGTTCTCGAAACTCTTGGGCAGGGAGTCGTTCGTTAGATTGTTCTGTTTGGCTACGAGGCAGGACAAGGGGCAGTCACCGAGAAAGTCCGGCAGTTGACGCAATCTGCAGTTCGATATCGACAACGAGTTCAAGTTTGTGAATCTGACGATGCTCCGTGGAATGCTGGTCAGGCGGTTCCGGTGAAGCAGCAACGTGTCCACGTGCTCCGGCCGTTTCGCGTTCACGAAATGATCGTGCAACACATGTGTATCCAGCATCAGATAGGACAGATCCAGTGTCTTCACGCTGGAATCCGAATCGCTGGAGTCCGAGGTGTAATTCTCCATGGAGGATCGGGTTTCACGCGATTTCGGTATCACGATACCCTGAAAAAAAAAGACGCAATGGATGTAATAGCTTTCTAAACATTGCGATACAATGACAGAAGGTATCGAACTTATAATTTTTCTTTGTAAATCGAGATTTCCTCTACAATTATTACACGCTCGTATATACAACTGCAGTTTTACATTGTACCCAAGCAAACGGTTATTCGCGTGATGTCTCTTCACATCGTTCGGGTTATCTTGCACGCGTAAACAATGTGTTCGAATCACGATTACGCTGGATTTTTATTTACAACTAGCCCGATGCCTCTAACGTGCAAGTCAGTTTTGTAGCAACTCTGCGAATCGGCTATCTCGTTCGTTTTTTTGCGGCTTTCACGAGAGCCGTATGGGGTACCTCACGAATGATAAGCGAGACTCGAATGTGATATGAAATAATAAATTTCATTCTTGCTTGTGCAATGCTTGACGCGGTTTCAAGCATTGCACTGATTGTATTAACCAGCGACGAAAAGCCGATTTTACCATTAATAATCGTGATCGCGTTTTACAGAGACGAACACAATTAGTATCGCGGGTGAAAGAGAGTTTTTATTTTATTCGTGTCGAGGCGTCGTTTTCATCGTCAATGACCATTCAAACAAGATTACACTAAAAATATGTCACGCTTGGTTAATACCGAGTTACGTAAACAAGAGGAAATTTCAATTAACAACAATGTATCAATTAGTGTAATTAATCCAGGATTTCTGGAAAAATAGATACGCGAACATAATGTGGACGACATTAATGGAACCGGCCAGATAACTCCGTGGAATTGATAGCTATGCTGAAATCATTAATAATGTTGTGAAATGGCGATCGAAATTTATTGCGGGCTAAAGAGGAGCACGGTTCGAGGGGGGTCCATTCCAGTTTTTCTTAACATTTCGGTTGATCTCGCTCACTTTTGCAGAATTGTTAATGAATAGTATATATAAAACGTATTCGAATCTATCGAAGACAACAAGTTAGCATGTGTCGTCAGTTATATGATTCGTTGGATGTCGCATATTTGTATTGCAACCCTAAGCGTCCACGTGCAGTTCAATAAAGCAGATTTTTAGTCACTCATGGACGCGACATTGAAAAGACTGAAGGCTACCGTCACGAGATTGCGTGAAAGAAGAACAACGACTGCATACGAAATTGTATTCATTATTTGGACCTGGGGTATCGTTCGTATTAAAATTCTTTAATCTATACATTCTTTCGAGCAACGAAAACAATTTCATCATAACAATTGTCCCAATGAATTATCGTTTAAAGTTAAAAACTTATTTGCTGTTTATTCATAATAACGTATTCGCAACTATTCTGGTGCAATTTAAGCTTAATCTTTCATTGAACAAATATGTACTTCATACGTAAGCTCTTCTATCTTTTATTCTTTACTAAACATTCATATAGCCAGATAACAGTTTCGCTTGCTTTTGTGCCATTACTTCGTCACGACAGTACCGAAATGTTTCCACGACGTTAATAACAGTAGTGAAATGTATAAGTTGGGATTAAATCAGTTCTCACGATAGCGCCATTCACGTAACTCCATATCACTGACGAAAGGCCATGAATTACACCGAAGATCTTACTCGCTAGAGACTTTCATTTAAAATCGTCACTATATAGATCGGTCGAACATTTTGTTCACTGCAGTTCATCGACTCGCCTCGTTTATAATTCCCTGCTTCTTCGTGTCACCTGTCGTGAAAACGATACCTGCCCCTTCTCTTTCTTTTCCTCGCTGTGTCTCACTATACCAATCGTTGGGATTTCGCTTGTCGGAATCTTGTGGCACGCTCGGTACGGATCACGCGAAAACTGGGACGCACGATCGAACCGAGATGTACAAACGCGAGGATCGAGACTGAACGATATCTGGTTTTATCAGTTCTCTTTATGAGTTAGTTCGGAGGTGCTTGGCCATCGCGAGCAAGCGCCAGTCAAGCTGCACTGCCGTTACAACGAGCAGATAATGCTCGTCGTCGAAACATGGATTTTCCAGTCGAAAGAACGGTAATCATAGTTCCCTTATCTTGGAAGCTGCTTTATTTCTTCGAATAAATTTTCGAAATAATGTTGTCATTGCTAAAATCTACATCAAAACAAACTAGCCACTTTAGATCACATTTGTAATTGTATATCAGGAACAGTCTTGTGTTCTTTGCATGAATATCTCAACATTGTAACAGAAAAATCACAGAAATTACGATTAAATTATTTGAATAGGTATATTGTGTATTAACAATGGCCGGTACTGAAATTCTTAATTCATATTTACTTTGCTAATATTTGAAGTTGTCAGACGGATTCGTCTGATTCAAACGATTTTCGAAGATCTTGAGCACTCAAAGTTACTGGACTATTTTTTATAATGCACGTGTGATTGAACAGTAGTTTCATTTATTCTTCTTTATGCAATTTTTTCAGATGAAAATTGTTAAGAAATATTAATATTCCGCGCAAACTATTCTTCGGTTAAAAAAGCTGTACGTATAATGATTCTTTGGTGCCATCTTACGACTAGATAATTTTACTAAGTGACTAGCAGTTTTAATGTATTGCTGTAGATGGCGCCAGATAACTATTTCATTTTGTTTATTAAGATAATATTATAGAAAAAATGTGGCAATTTTTGGTGTATGATAAGCTTTGACAAACTAATCCGATACCATTGACAAGAACAAAAAGCTCATTGTATGATATTATAACAGTGAGAGAATTGCTCCCTGATATATGTATATAAATCATTATTTCTTTACCAAGCATGCTAAGGGGTGTAAGGTTAGCACGTAACACATCAAACAAATAAACAAGTAAGAATAAAGGATTGATAGAAAAACAATAGAAACATCTGCAAGGGCTTAAAACAGATAATTGTAGTTAAAAGCAATTGGAGATTAATTAAAAATAATCAAACTTACCTTATATGTTGAATTATTTTATGAATGAAGATTTTTCTGTGAAATATTTAATTACTAAATGGCACTCTTAAAGAAATTTATGTGTTTGTACCTCCATCAGACACAACGGTTTGCTTCTAAAAATATGTATATCACTTTACGAACACAGATGAAGTTAAAATTTGTCGAGCAATGCAGAAGTCAATATGAAAATTTATTATCAAAGCCTGATATATCAATGGAAGCATGTAAAGTACTACAGAAAGATATTATGAAGTTGACAAACTATGAATCACATATCGCTGATACTTTCATCATGAATATGTGCTGTACTGAAAAATTCAGTAATGCAGGAATATCATTTTATAAATTTCTACAGAATTGTTATAAACCTTCCATAATAACTACTGAAAGATTCTTATCTTTGTATAATTACAAAAATGGTCCAATTACAGAAGCAGAGAGGGAATATGTTTTGCAAGTGTACAAAGAACTTAGGCAAGAGTATAAAACATTGAGTGGAAATCTAGCTGAAGCTTGTATAACAGCCTTGTGTAAAGTAGGCGAGTGGGAGGAATCTATTGAAATTATAAATACTTTTGAAAAGGAGGATACATCAGAATTCCTTATCTTGGGATATAGTGCATTAATAAAGTGTTTATTAGATCAAGGGAATATAGAGCTCATGTTTAAATATTTGATTATTTGTTGTCAGAAGAGTTCCGGACTTCAACATTATGTATGCTCAGCTTATTTAAAATATTGTTTGAAGGATAAGCAAACTTTTAATACAAATGTAGAAAAATTATTCTCATTATGGAGTAAATGTGGGAATGTAGCCTCTATAGATACAATAAATGAATTTATAGATACATGTAATCAACTTGGTTGGACTGCACAGATAACAAACATAAGATCGTATGTAATATTTGTAATTAGTCGTGTGTGTCTTGTCAATTTCATTTTTTAAAAGGTATTTATGCCTCATTTTATAGGTCAGTATGTATGGCATGTCGACAAAAATTATCAGGCCCATCATTAACAGAAGAAGATTTCAATATTTTGTCACATTCTTTATTGGAAAAATTATTTATTGACAGGCAATATCAGAATACTGTTCCAGCAGAACTGAACAATTTTATGAAATTCATACAGGCAACGAAACCATATGATGTTGTTCTCGATGTATTAAATATTTTGTGCATGAGGCCACAAAACAAAGAATATAACAAGGACGCTGTAAGAAATTTTATATTTAATATACATATATATGTGTATTGTGTACTAAGTATTAAATATTATTCTTGTAAGTTAGTCTTTAAGCTATTCAAGTTCTAAACTAACTTAAATGTTTTTTAGTTGTTTCGAATCCTTGAATATTTTAAGAAACAAAACAAGAAGGTACTTGCGATTGGCCGACATCATTTACGAAGCTTGCCTTTTATCCAAGCTGCAGCAAAAAAAGCAACATTTTTCTTTGTGGAAAATGTGTATGTAATACAACAGTCTATATGTAAAGTACTTTTCATCTGCAGGGTAAATAATACTGTTTGAACATTATAGGTCAAACGATGATCCATTTATGTTATATGCATCACTAACAAGTGGAAAGAATACCATCATTGTATCCAGGGACTTTATGCGCCAACATAGGTACGCCCTCCACGACGGACATTTAAGTACCCTTTTTAAGAAATGGCAATATACGCAGCAATATATATGTGTGCTTGGGAAGAATGGCACAGTCAAATTGACAGAGGTACACAGATGTCAAAGCGATCTTAATTACTACTTCAACAGTGGTGCTCAGAAGCATGGAAATAGTTGGCATATACCTTTTAGTACAACAGGACTCACAAAACTGGACAATGTAGGTCATGGAAATTGGGCTTGTTTCAGAATAGGTACATAGTAACATTGGTTAAGTAAAATAAACATACATGTATGTACTGGTAATATAGGACTGCAAGTTTCATTTATTTTATTTTATTTTATACATGATCTTATACGTGGTAGAAAAGATTCATCGATCTCGTGAACTTTATTTTGATCTGCTTAGGTTTCACCTCATCGGAATGTGCCGATAGGTGTTAACTTTATGAGTTGGATATGTCAAAAAAAAAATAATGTTGACGGTAATATAGGGTGATCCTCTCGCTGTGCAAAATCAAAGGCCGTGGTTGTATGCAGCGACACTTAGTTAATAAAGTATGAATTCTGAGTATTATTAGCACAATGAAGTGTTATATATTCTATTCATATTGCGTGATCTATATGATTTGACGGGAATAAAAATATCCGATGCTTCTGTTTAAGGTTCAGGGATAAATATGACAGTCATGAAACATGAAACGGAAAAGTATATATTTTTTCCACTTAACTACAAGACAATTTATTCTAAATGCACCGTTAATGGACATTTTATTAATGTTACTTTTTAAATGTCTTGTTTTATCAGCGTGATTTTCGTGGGACACCAAGTCCCATAAGCTATTAGGTCTATTCTTATATGTCGTCTGTGGTACGTGTGTGGGAGGGGCGTTTCTATACCGCTGCAATAAACGAGCGTTACTCTGTTGCAGTTGCATGCCGTGGTAACAATGTCTTCTACGAGATGGCAGCACATGTGTGAATGGTGGTTGGACCAATGAAATTTGTGTCACGCATTCCAGTTTATGCTTTACAACGCAACAGGTGTTGCGGACCGTCGAGTTTTCGCGTGAGTTTTTAATACTGTGTTGTTGCACGTTTATTTATACGTGTTTCCATTCCCCGGACACGTCTTACAAATCTATCTTGATTTGTTGTTTAACGGAAAGTGTTATTATACTTTACTGTAAGAGTGCGTGTACTCAGGAAGTGATTTATGAAGCGTGAAACGCACCGTATTCAAGAGACGACAAGGGAGCGTTAGAGGTATGTCTTATTTATTATTTATACAGTACCGATACTCGATAGCATGTTACACCACTATTATACTGCTTAACACGATTTATAAAAACTATTCGCTGTTTAACATCAACCAGTGACATGTGCGCGAGAGAACGTGATTTACGTAACTGTTGTTCTTTCGGGTTCTTGTGTGGCATTTTGAAAATACTATTTTCTATTAAAAAGTTAACAGTGATACAACCGATTTCCTAAGATGACGTTCTCCGAGGTGTGGTTCTGTGGTATTGGATCGACTTATTGTTTATCGTATTTTATACTCCTTGTAGTATTTTTGACAAACAAAGGAAAAGTAATGAGTATATAGTAACAAATCGCCATGACACGTGTTCTGTGACACCGAATACGACTTTATGTATGAGTCAATGTAACCGATAAACGTTTCTCGCTAGCCACGAGAGTTGTATTGTCGTGTCGCGAGAAGTACAGGCATAGTACAGGTTTATTCATCGTTTTTGCGATCGGATTATTCATATTGCCTTGGGAGTGCGAGTCACAGACGCTCTACCGTTTGACAGTCAAAGCTTCAAACTCCGATAACTTCTCACGGTGCGCGAGTGATATCAGTGACACGATCATGTTTTGCTAAACTTCTCGTGTGTATTTGCTTCACGCTACGTGCACTGCAAATAATTGAATATACATCGTATGAAAAGAATGTTCCATCAAAGTTGCGAGGTGATTTCTGAACTTTTAAATGGTATCAAATGGACCCGCCCGAAATGTGTCACGTGACCGTCGTCTTTCTAGATGTCATCGGATATCATAAGATTCATTATCAAACAAATTCAATGCTGACAGACGAAATATCTTCATGCCACCGATTTTATTCTACAGTTTCATACTTATCAACATTTTTTAGTATAAAAAGCATATTTTATCGGGAGTGCAAAGGTTACCCAAATGTAACATAGGTATTTCCGTTGTCTTTTTATTTCTCTACAATGTGGAGTAGAATAATTAACAATGTCAGTAATCTTTAGAACCTCGATAAAGTGAATGGCCTGGCATTCGCACGCGTTCAAAGGAAACCCGTTTCTATACGTGGGTGGCGCGAAAAAAGTCGGAACCTACGCGAGTTTCACGCATTTGGCGCGTTTGAACGATCCAACGTCTCGCGGCCTTTATAGGCCGACTCAAAACTGTTGTCAGGGCATCTATAATTACGAAATTTTATACACACGTATAACGGGGATAAGGAAAGTGTTCAAATGTATATGCATAATTGCATTGGAATGTCTTTATTTCCAAGAATTTTCGATCTTTTGTACAGCACTATAATGCCGTGTCGCTTCGTGTGATCGCCGCTAGATGGCTTTTCAATAACATGTATTTTCATAAGTCCTCTGTTCTTCGATTTTTCATCGATGGGTGATTCGATACGAATCGAGCTATGTAAGGCATTCTTTATTTAGTAGTCAAATTTTTCAAACGAACGTGGATAATATGGACCTTCTGGCGACAATAGTGCAATTGTTCTCCGCGAATGCAGTACCGTGAAATACAAGCGTTGCGAGAGCGATAAGAGAGATAGGGTTGGATGTCAACGACTCAGGTAGGTCGGATAAGATATACCTTATCCAGTATGTGTGCCTACCGGTGTTGACCTGCTCCATTAACGAATTTATCTGCATCTTTTTTTTTTTGCATCGTCAAAGATTGGCAAAAATTTCCAAAAGAAATTTCACATTTTCTCTCCTAATAAATTACATCGATACGGGACAATCTTCTCTGTTTAAATGGTCCGTTAACACAACAAACATTCAACTCCACAACGTACATACAATTCTAAGATTAAATATCTCGTTAAACTATACCATGTACTTGTAGCCAATTCTTAGGACAGCAGGAAAAGGAATAATTCATCTAAAAAAACAACATTACATCTAAAAAAAAAAAAAAGAACCAGGAGGCGACTACCACTTGCGTCCCTTTTTAGCAAAAAATAGTGAATTATTTCCAATTTTTTCGACTCGTCTAGCCTTGCCTTCCTCGGCGTAATAATTTGCGACGTTATTCGTATCAATTTCCGTTCCGCCATTTCGATTTAAAAGCGATAGTTCGAAAGTTGGCGAGAGCGGCTCGCTAACGAAGTGTGGCGAACAGGGGCCGGAGGGTGCACGGCATAATGGCGACGTATCGTAAAACGATAAAACGCGGTTATAAAAGTAAGTGGTCGTTCGACGTACAGCGAACCTTTAACCACCGTGTCGAAGGATTAAGGCCGTTACACACGTTCCTGCCGGACTGTCAGTTTCGTCTGAACTAGAAATATTAGCTGGCCGAAGCTTGTGAAAACCATTGAACTCTACACCTGAAACGATAATTGTGAGCATTGGAGGTGTCGTCGGTCTGTTGTCTGTCTCTGGAGGAAATAAAAAAAAAACTTATTATATAGGATACCATTAATAGATGCACACTCTGTACAATTTGATACAGCGTACGAATATCTTTCGAAATCGCAAACAGAAGTCGCGAATTGATCAACAAGTAACGAACGAAATCGTTTATACAATTGTCCTCGAAATGCCGTTCCGTGTCGCGATTCTCGTTGCACAAGTCTCGTTTCGACATCGTTTATTATTGAACGAACGAGCAACAGCGGTGCACGCGCAAGAAAACGAAAACACGAAACACGACAGTCCAGGTCCGTTCTGTCGCGTTTGTATTATCATCGGCACCAGAGAGCGACCACTGAAAAGAAAAAATCGTGCATAAAACATTAAGGACACGGTCGTAAAGTCGGTGTAACTGCTTGTCGCACCGGTGTTAAATTTCGAATTCGACTTTAATCACCCTGGACAAGTCACATGATTGGAAGACGGTTTTGGGGCGCACCGTCACGTGAATCCTTTTCCGATGTATAAAAGTCTATTAAACAGTATGCAACGACAGATTCACGAGCGAATAATCAGAAAGGTCAAGAATATCGAATCTGTTGTTCTCGTCAGGCTCCATTTAGATAGCTTGTAAAACGAAAGATGAAAATACGCAGTTTCAGGAAGTTACGGCGAATCCACCCTAGGGATGGAGGTCTATGCCCTGTCTGTGTCTCTCTGAATCGATTTTAGGCGCGTGGACCACCATAGGCGTATATACCTCATGCACAAAGCGATGGGAGGAAACCCATCGTCTGCTCTCAGGCGTGTCCCGCGTGTGCAATACGAATAGTAAAATCAACAATTTTTCTTCCAAAACGCAAGTTCAGTGAACTGTATTATATTCCAAAAGGGCGACTGAAGGTATAATGATGTTCACTGAAATGTTTTCGATATCTGTGTGGACGTAGACAGTGATAATACAGTGATAACACACGCACGACGTGTATTTCCGGTGGCACTTCCTGCCCGTAGAGTCGAAGCATTCCAAAATTGTTTAAGATCACACATATAGCATATCAAAAAAATTTTGTCACAGGACAGCTGGAAAATTGTTTCACGCGAGGTACGTCGCGTACGATATTACGTCCGTGAGACATAAAAGGAATTCTGAACGCGAAAAGTTTTCGACAAATTTTCACGTCGAGCGTGTTTCGCCGTTCTCCACCCCAGTCTTCGTTTGACCCCTCGACAAAACGGTCCAAGGGGGTCGCGACGTCGTTCCGTAAAGGCAACGTTTCGACAAAGGTCGAGAACCAGCGGCCAAAATTTCAGGTCTCTCCCTCTCTCCTCTTAATTTTACGATCGCTCGTAATCGTAGCACGGGCAAATTATTATGGGGGAAATTTCGCGGCGAGCGACGCGTCGCACGGAGTTTTGAGGATGATCTTCGCCTTTACGGCAGTTAGGTTTATTAGACGCCATTTTCACAGGGAACTCGGCCCGTTTCTAGCCCTCTTCTAAACGAGCCGGGGCCTCGTTCGTGTCTATGACGTTACGTATTGTTAAGCTTACAGAGGCGTGCGAATAATTGTACACAGCGTCGAATGTGATAAAGAATAATCGTTATTATTTTAATACACGGAATGTCTGATATTTCTCAACAAGATTTCAGATATGGCACACATGCTTCGTTTTCATTATAAGCACAATACGTAAGAATTACAAATTTTACTACAGTTTTATAGTTATGCCACGCAGTGTATGAATTTGAAAATATATCTATAAAATTCTATGCAGAATTCTTGAAACCTCTGTACAATGAAAATTCTTCTACGTGTCAAAATGACCCTGCATTCCGTCTACCGCGTCTGCCCCATAACACCCTCCTTTCGAGAGTTAAAGAGACACAGAAATACATATTAAGTATCAGGTCGACGTATATACAAATATTATAACCATAACGTCATCCACGCACATGTCTGTGGTAATATATGTACCTACCTGAGAATGAAACAAAAAATATGAAGAGTCTCCTGGATGGGACTCGATGAGAAAAAGAACGAAAAGGAAGAAACCCTGAACCAAAGTGTTCGGAATCCTTGATGATAGTCGTTCTTATTTCCAGTTCATTACCGTCCACGGTGTCTTGTATCCGTTGTTCACTCTCATAGTAAATAATGCAGCACGACACCTGGTACACCCTGTACATCACGCTGCGTATGCACGGGAGCGTGGTGTACACACGTACACGGTACCGAGCGTAATATATGCATAATGTATAGGGGCTGGTGTGTGCAAGCGAAATACCTCCGTTCCACGCCGTTCTATATCACGTAAGCCGGTGCACTCGCGACTGCGTTCTACCACCACCAGTGCAACGGCCTTCCGATGCACGTGTAGCCTGTGGTTCTCGTGGTGTTTCATTGCCGTGTCGGGCGTGTCTGAAAATTGGAAAAAATTCCGGCGGCAACGAATACGATCCATGCGATGGACAGAGGATCTTTCGTTCTTCGACAGTTTCGAATCTCGATATTCCAGAGGAAGAATTTGTTTCTGGGTAAATAAGTGCAAGTGTTGCATAGTAATTGAAATATTAATCGTGGAATAATATGATATCGTGTAAAAGATTCAGTTCGATCGACGACTTGTACAAGTTAATTCGAATTTCAAAAAAATTTTGGAAATTCCAAAATCCCACGATTTCTGATTAATGGATCTTGATCGATGATAAGAGAGATCCAGACACGAAGCTATGATCGATAATTTCCGAATTATTCGATGTTCTAGTCCGCTATCTTGCACGTGAATCGCCGTTGTAAGGCGCCTTAATAGAAAGACCTTTCGTTCCCTGGTCCCCATAACTTATCGGGTTGGAATTCGAGCGATGCTAATTTCATCGCGGAATTCTGGAATTCCAGCGGGGTCCTTGGGTCTTCGTGGTTATTGTCCAGGCTGATTCCCGACTAGGGGACATGCGCCGCGGAGTTATATTAACCGCATTTCCGGACACGTTCGATCAGATCCGCGGTATCGGAGCTATTCGAACAATAAAGGTTAAGCTCCGTAATCAATTGAGCGCAGCTGTAATTTGCTTTGCTTCCCCTTCTTCAACACTTCGACTGTCATGTGCTTCGATCGGTGGATAAACGTGAAAAACTTTTGAAAATTTAGAAATTTAGAAATTGTTAATTTCTCCCCTTTCATATCGTAATAAAAGGTGCAAAAGTTTAATCGTCCTTGTAAGATTGTATTGACAAGTCATTTTTACTTCCTTGGTAGTTCTAGTGTTAAAGTAAACACGCTTTCATGCGTGTTGATATAATTACTTGAAAGATTATGTAATCCTTCATTATTTGATAAAGTTTTTAAATGTTGCAAAGCAAATTTCTTTGCACTTCCCGGTTCCAGATGTAATGGTTCTCGAAAACCACCTAAATTTCGAAATCCGTATAAGAGTTAAATAAACGCGTTTATTTTCGACGATTTATGACTGAGAACACCAAATAAAGTGGGTCTGGTTACGTACGGCCTTTTTCACTGTGGGCAGTCAACGTGTTAATTCTTCCTTTCTTCGAAACCTTAAGAACTTGCTATACTTGACCTTCTTCTGTCGCTACACTCGCCGTACATCTCAGACCATTGTATTGTCGCGGAATAAAACTATCGCCAATGAATCTTCGCCGAGACAGCGTCGCACCAGTGTTAGATCGTTTTTAATATCCCGTAGCCATCGTAAACGGTCCAATATTTTTGCACGGTGCTGTATATGTATATGGTCGGAAGCCTTTATAGAGCCAGACAATTCGATTGAATTATCGTAACAGAGTTATCCGTCGGTTGCCGCGGCCCGCGAGCTAACGACTAAACGTTAACGTCGCAAACAAGGATCTAAACCGATTTTCCAGCTTATTTGGAGCGTCAGGAGGGAAAGCGTATCTTAAATAACGTCGATCGAAAACCCATGTTCGACAGCGTGAAAACAGAAGGATGGCGCGAATCAAGAGATCGTGACCAACATATTTTCCGTCGAAGGAAGTCGCTTGATCGCTCGACTATCGCCATCTCCGATCTCGCGCTGACACCGCCATTGTTCAACATTTTAATCGTCGCAAACTGAATCGACACGACTCATACCACCCTCCCTGGCCCCTCTCTGGAGTCCGTATTATTTTGCAAACGCTCGCGGAAAAATAAAGAATTATATAATCTGTCCATGAGAATACACGAATGTAGGATTTTTAGTTCTGGTCTCCGAAGGTGACGAGCATTAACGTATGTAATTATTTGCACCGACTACCGTTTTCTAAATCACCGTTAATCACCGAATTAGCGAAACTTCACGATATTCTAACGTTTACCTTGTTCGAGCTTGCTACTAACACTAAATCTACCACGATCGGTCAAACGACTGGTTTTGCCGTTCTGATTCCTTGCTTTTTTCAAGGGTTCGGTAGGTTTAGAGTTAAAATTCTTTGAACCTTGGATGTTCCAACTGACCAGGTCTCCATCAATACAGGCTTTCGCGTTCGGATGGACCGATCGATAGATTAATCTATCCCATGCGGGTCTTCGTGCTAGTTCAACTCTGCTCCGCGATTGTCTAAGGAGGCCAGGCGTGCTCGGAACGGGATTGTCTTGGTCTCGAAGTTCGGTTGATCGATGAAGGGTCTCGTAAATCCGAATTGCAATCAGTGGTCGTCGACGTGAACGGCAGCGAATATCGAGGATCGGTCAGAACCGGCCCCGGGAAACCTGGAGAGAGCCTGGACGGAGAATACGGGATTCGACGTAAATGAAATTACAAAGTCAAATGCAGATTGGGGAGGGGAACGAGCATCAGATAAAGCCACTTAATGCAAACGAGGCGTCGTCAAAACGGCTAAACCTTTTGTCCGACACCGGTGCATCGTGTCAGCCCGCGAAACGAACGATCGGCAAGCAACTACAATTCATATTCACCGCCGATACAGCGGAGAGGCACTGATGGATCTGTTGTATTTTTAATGGTGTAGGTTCTTTTGTTAATTCGTTACTCGCGTGTTTAATCACGTAGATTATTAACAGCAACTAATTGGACTAAAACAGACTTATCTTTCTTACTTTTTTCTACAGCATCTCTTTAGGAATTGTGTTAGCTGATTTTAATGTGGAAAATGATACTTTGTATACTAATCCAAGCAAGCAGATGCATTAATCTTGTATGAACAATCATTCTGCTTATTCGAAGTGTTATTTTCACGCGTAGAATGTAGACATACATATACTACTGGACAAAAGTATGGGATCAGTACTTAGGATTACTTCAGGATTACTTCTATCAAATCTTTGTAGAATATTTTTCTCTTTCTTTAATTAGCAGACCTGGTCCTGAATTTTGGGCCGTAGCGCACGCAGAAAGAAAGTAAAACTCGAGCTTGAATTATACTTGTAACGTTTATTGTACACGTTGCAACTAAGTTATACTAATTTTCGATATTGTGAAGTTAACAAAATTTCAGTTGTACCGAAAAACGCGCTTTCCAAAACTGATCCTCATTGGTAAAACTTATCCAGTAGATTATGAAGAGGAAGTCGAAGGCGATCTATTCCGCATTTCATGAACATCTGGGCCACCATGCACTCGTCTTCCTGGGCGGCTGTTTAAAAGAATTTAGAGTGAGCGTAATAATATGTCGATCAGAGCATATTTATCGACTTATAGTGATTTGTCCATTCAGTTTACCATTTGCAACACATTCGTGGATACTCTGACGCAAATTCTCTTTCTCGTCGCTGTTTTGCATTATCTTGTCGATCCTGGCGTCGATAAGTTCCAGGTTTATGGCGTTGCCATTCATCTGAAATATTTAGATTCATGGTGATTCAATTCTGATTTGGATGAGACTTAAAAAAAAAAAAAACGAAAGAAACTCTTTTCTTTATTATAATTTATTTTCGTTCTATAAAGTCTAAGCTTTAAGAAGTTTAACGTGTTACGAACCAGGCCCATCTTCTGCAGGTAGCAAGCTGCGATGCAAGCACGCTTCCTGCTCCCCTCTTCGGTCTGATCGCGCAACAGTGCCGGTATATCGACTAATGAAATGGTAGAAAAATATTCATGATACATGTATCAGGCGTTGAAACGGTCTTAATTCATTTTAATGGTGATTCGTACTGACCTATCTGCACTCCCGCTTGCTCCAGGCACGAAGGTGGCATAACTTCGTCAGCTTGAACCATCTAAATGAAATTATGATTAATCGATAATTTAGTTGAAATGAATTCTTATGTTCACACCAGTAACATTAATGTAAAAAATAGTTGAATTGCAAATAGAAGTTGAGTAAGAAGTAGACAAGTAGATTTACCGTGTAACACACAAAGCTCAAAGCGCAGAGGAGGATCGCGGTGATTTTCATGGTGATGGTCCCTGAGTGTACTCAAATACAAGGTGTAGTTAGGATGAGCTTCGCTGAATGTGATTCTTTCGACTGACTCGGTGACGTTTCGAACTCGGTATTTATACTCGACAGCTGCACGTACCAGGCTCAATCGATGAGTGATAATGGTTTATGTAATTTAATTTTCCGGAAACATTGTAACCATTACTCGGATTACTCCGTGGAATCGTTCATTTAAGTCTGGTGCGTTTAGGAGTCTTCCAGTGCTCGGAATATTATGAAAACTATGTAGGTGATCGATCGTTTTCGTTTAACGTCAATAAAGTCTTCGTTAGGTCTTTGTGATAGTATCTTTTATTCTTCTCTCTTTTTTTTTTAACAATTATTCACTGCACTCTTGGGAGTTTTGCTTGATGCACTGCCTAACACTAGCAGAAAAATAATTGCACTGCCATGGTGTCATCGTTAGTTTGCAGAATTAATTGAAAAGAAAATGACACTGCAGAAATCGCAATCCACCTTCAAAATTCGAAGAGATGAAAAATGTAATCGAATAGACTATCACGTTCGTGAATATTATAGCATTAGTAACCGATAACCAATTTTCCGTCGATCAATAGGATGCAACAATTGGGTAGTCAATTATTCATAGAATGTATCGAAATATTTTTCAATAATTGCGTTTGAAATTTGCACTTCTCCCCATTATGAGTCCATGAAATTTCTGCTCTGCAATTTATAATTACGAATGCTCGATGCAGGACGACGGTTATAATGTAGGCAAATATAATCGGTAACTTACGTTTTTTCACCTGAACACGTTCGCTCGCCGACAAAGTGTACATTGATTATCTACAATACGATCTCACGTAAATGTTTATAATTGCAGCCGTGGTTTCATTCATACGGGATATATTTACATGAAAATTCGTTCGTGCTTTATAATTAATGAAGAAAACACACTTTAATTAGTGATTAACAAATCGTTACATATAAAAAGATTGTTTCTTGAATAGGTACATTTCCTAATCTCCGGAACCGAAGACAATTCGGCACTTAGTCACCATACACTTTAGAAATTCCACTACCACGTCGGTTTCATCGGTGATTTGTGTCACTGAAACAATAATTATAATTTATTAATTCGATCGTTTCATTCGTTCACTCTCTTCTATCGACACCTGACACGACAAGGGAGGAACAAAAGTCCTAACGCAGGATTTGTGTCTCTAAGATCCCGGTCAAAGCATCGCGATCATTTCTTATTTGAGTCAGTTATTATTAGACTGTGGATTTTTATGCAAAATAACATTTTATAAAATGATTTATAAGGACAAGAGGAAAAATAAAAATTTCCTTTTTCTCTAAAATATCTCATTGGATTAAGAATACAAAAGGATCTCGTTACATCCGATGAAAGTTTTGTCTTTCATTGTATTTCACAGAGCTCTATGGTTTACAAGTACATAAAATCTGCGGTCTAGTTATTAAAAATCGCAACGAAATGGAAAAAGTGAATAGTACAGCTTGTATACGATACGATTACGCTATATACGTATAATGTGTAGAATGCGCTAATACTTTTGTGCCTCGAAGTGTAATTAATGTTAATTACCTTCGCTGCTGCATTCGTTCATAATTCTGAGTAACGGCGTCCTCACTTCTGGTGGTACACCCATGGTATCAATGACTTGATGGATTTTCGACATTTGAATCTTCGGTCCCACCATCTGTAATCGTCGATCGGAAAGCAATTAAATCTTGCTTTCGCATCTCTTTACTCGAATACACGCGACAGAGACGAGACGACTCACCGTTCCTTGTAACTGAGCACAGCACACCAAGGCGCGGCTGGCTCTTTTCACGCCTTTTGAATCAATTTTCTCAGTTACTTCTTTCGTAACAACTTGTTCCAGATTTCCCATATCGTCTGCGAAGCAAAGATAAATACCGTTTATCTATTTTGTGATAAGTTTTATCTAGTTTAAAATAGTTTATAAAGTAGGACCCCCGTATCCGCGGATTCAATATGCGAGGTTTCACTTTCTTACAGTAATTAACAGTGGCACAATAGGCTTCGCTATCGAAGATCTAATTTTACACTATATCAATCACAAAATATTTTTTCTACCACTTATATTTAATGATTTCTTCAAGACAATAAAAAGGTTTACCCTCCGTTGCTCCTGTTTCACGAAGGCACGATTTGGCTTCATCCACCGTAATCGAGAAGAGGCGAGCTAACCCCACGTCCAGTTCGGTCCTAGTATTTGATGCTTGTACAGACACCTAAAATAATCATGTTTCACAAACTGTTTAACAGAAAGTAGTTTTGCAAGCGGAAAACTTGAAAAATTTATCGATTAATCTCGTCCGCTCCTGCTATTGAATAGACAAGAAACAAAATGAAAACGTTCATTGTAGAATAAGAGCGTAGTTAAGACGAAGTCGAAACGTTTCCATATTTATTCAGATTTTTAGCAGAAAGACAGATTACGAATGTATTCATTGCATAACAAGTATTTCAACGGTTCGAACGATTTATTGAGACGATACCATCGTTCACCGAATCATTCATGGCACCATGAACGTGGTCCAGGCAGTAAGTTGAGTGTACTTACCACCGCGAGTACGGTGAACATGAGCAGCTCCAGGTACCGCATGACTTTCGTTGATTTACCGTTGACACTGGGAAACTGATTCGATCAACTGACATCTAACGATTGGATCGCTTCATTTATATCCAATGAATGCAGGTCAAAGATACAAGATTATGTCACGTGGTCGTTGTTACGTTCGCAGAACATCATTTTTCAATTGCAGTTATCGCAAGTAATGTTTATAATTGTAACCGTGATTTCATTCATACGGGATATATTTACATGAAAATTCGTTCGTGCTGTATAATTAATGAAGAAAACACAATTTATTTAGCGATTAACAAATCGTTACATGTAAAAAGATCGTTTCTTGAATAGGTACATTTCTTAAACTTCGGAATCGAAGATAACTCGGCACTTAGCCACCGTACACTTTAGAAATTCCACCATCACGTCGGTCTCTACGGTGATTTGTGTCACTGAAACAATAATTGTTATATGCGAAAATATAATGTGTAAAATGCGCCAATACTTTTGTGCCTCGAGGTGTAATTCATGTTAATTACCTTCGTTGTTGCATTCGGTCATAATTCTGAGTAGCGGCAACTTCACTTCTGGTGGTACACCCATGTTATCAATGATTACGTGGACTTTCGACATTTGAATCTTCGGTCCCACCATCTGTAATCGTCGATCGAAAAGCAATTAAATCTTGCTTTCGCATCTCTTTACTCGAATACACGCGATAGAGACTCACCGTTCCTTCTAACTGAGCACAGCACACCAAGGCGCGGCTGGCTCTTTTCACGCCTTCTTGATCAATTCTTTCAGTTAATTCTTTCGTAACAAGACGTTGCAAATTTCTCATATCGTCTGCGAAGCAAAGATAAATCCCGTTTATCTATTTTAAATTACTTTGTAAAGTAGGACCGCCGTATCCGCGGATTCAATATCCGAGGTTTCACTTTTCCGCGATTGATGGCGGCTCGAACAAATTGCATTTAAATATGTAATCTATCTCTAATAAGTATTTCCCCTGCGATAACCTAATTTACATGTCGATGTTTAGATTTTGGTATCCGCGAAAGGCCTTGGAACCAATCCCCCGCGGATAGGGGGTCTTGTAATAATTAACAATGGCACAATAGGCTTCGCTATCGAAGATCCAATGTTACAATATATTCATCGCACAATATTTTTTCTACCACTTATATTTAATGATTTCCTTAAGACAATAAGAAAGTTTACCCTCCGTTGTTCCCGTGTCACGAAGGCACGATTCGGCTTCGGCCACCGTGATCGAGAAGAGGCGAGCTAAACCCACGTCCATTTCGTTCCTATAATTTGATGCTTGTACAGACACCTGAAATAATCATGTTTCACAAACCGTTTAACGGAAAGTAGTTTTGCAGGCGGCAAACTTGATAAATCTATCGATTAATCTCGTCCCCTCCTGCTATTGAATAGACAAGAAACAAAATGAAAACGTTCATTGTAGAATAAGAGCGTAGTTAAGACGCAGACGAAACGTTGCCATACTTATTGACATTATTAGCAGAAAGACAGATTACGAATATATTCATTGCATAACAAGTATTTCAACGGTTCGAACGATTAAGATGATACTTACCACCGCGAATACGGTGAACGTGAGCAGCTCCAGGTACCGCATGACTTCCGTTGATTTATCGTTGACACTACGAAACTGATTCGATCAACTGACATCTAACGATTGGATCGCTTCATTTATACCCATTGAATGCAGGTCAAAGATACAAGATTATGTCTCGTGGCGGTTGTTGCGTTCGCAGATCATCATTTTTCAATTGCAGTTATCGTAAGAATAATGTTAGATTCTGAAGGAAATTGGTCCTACGAAGTAGTCGTAATTTCCATTCTTTACCTTCGTGTGCTTGCGATTCACCGTTGTCAACATTTTTTACAGACATTTCGGGTGATATAAATTGATTATGCGTAAACCAAGCATATTTGTTTTGCTTCAATTCCATGAAGCGAATTCTTTGGAAGACGGTGGAAAATTTCAGTAGAAAAGTTCAATCTGTTTTTCATCGATCTTCGTTGGAAACTATACATGAAAAATATAGGATTCTTCGAAGCTGCGTTAGTGTATGTAAAAATAGCTGAACATTTCTAGGTCATTGTAGTGACATTCTAGAGAATTGGTACGCAGTAGTAACAAATCAAAATATGTTCGTTTATTTCCGAGAAAACATTTAGATAGAGCCTGTACTTTAATTACAAAAGATTTGGTAAAATACGATCCAGTTTATCCGCATTCATATATCTTTACAGAAAAGAAATGAAAGTATTAACAATATCACTCTTCTATAGCTGAATAATTCAATGCAATTCTTACATAATTACTCGAAGCCTGATACTATAGACTATAAACAATACGAATATTGTGAATAGTAATAAAAATATGTGGTTTTATTACATTTTTTTATTGAAATATCAATTAATCAGTAGCGAAAGGTGCTGTTTTGTTGTTGACCAAGGTGTCTTGACTTCCTAATTCGTTGTCTTGATGTTACAATTCTTCAATGATTTTATCAGTCATTGAACAATCGTTCAACCGTGACGTATCTGTCGCAGCATGCACAAGGTGAAGGCGCGAGCCACATCGCATTTATCAGAATCCACTTTCGCTGAAATGTTTAAAATAATTAGCACGCTTATCGGTTACGACTAAAACGATTCTCGATTTGGAACAGAAACGAGATAATAATGCTGTATCCGCACGATTGTATTTTGTTTCAACCGTAATCGAACAGTAAATATTATTGTTTATTCAGTAACTTCTGAGAATGCTCATAATTCATACGACGAATTATGCTTCTTTTAAAACAATTTCATAAATTTTTCACGGAGCTTACCGTTATCGACACATTTGCTGAACTCTCCTTTTAACTCAGGACTCATAGGGATATTGTTCTTTTCGGCTACTTGCAATAAACTGTCCAGTTGAATTTTATCGTTCTGCATCTGCAACAGTTACATAATTTTTTAGAATCCTGAATATCTTTTCATTTACTAAAAAAAAAAAATGTAAACGATTAATTAAAAATCGAATCACGAAGTATACTTACGATGTTCGATTTCTCGAAAATGCAGGCCACGAAGCAACTCAACGTGTTTAACAATTTCTTCTCATTATCGTTCAGATGTTCATTGCGGATAAGCTTTTGAATCTTTGACATATCGACTACAAGAAATGCAGTGCATACAGTAAGTGCTTCTAAATAATTGTACAAGTCTAATTTATGCTTTCAAAAACGAGTAATGTTAACATTAGGATTGTGTTCGTTTTACAACTTTCGAACGGTCAATCTCAAATTTTTCTTATTTTCTGAAGAGTGATCGCAATCTGAATGTTTACAAAATGTACAGCGAGCTTCAGACTAGAGGCATGAAATCGTAACGTAAAGAACACAATGATCGATTCCATTCATTTAGATACTATAGTTAGGGATTCATATGGACCAAGCACAGGTACCTTTAGTACACATTAAATTTCATTAATTCGAGCTTCATAGTACTCAAAACTATCAGTAATGATAACATAAGCGCAGTACGTACTTTCCCCCAATTTATGTTCCTGTGTACATTCATCGAGTTGATCCTTCGATATATCCAGAAAACTCGCCAATCGTTGTATACTGTGTTCTCCGATCGCTACCTAAATCATCGAATGCCAGATCATTCACGAATCATTATTCATGTTTCATACCACACACGTTATACAGAATCGTCTGGCACAATTAGATTTGCATGCGTTTGTTACGTGAATTATGTAAATTAATACAGAGTATGACATACGTCTACGTTCAAAATATACGATGTTTCTTATGTACTCACGGTGCTGACGAGAACACAAAGGAGAACCAGAACGCTCTTCATCGCTTCCAGTGTAATACAGAGTTGTGAAAGAGACAGAAACCGCGTGTCCTCGCGAATATTTTGCAAACTGTAACGAATCGTCGCGAGCCACCGGGCTTTATATTTCTCCTCGACGGATCAGATTTTAAACAAATTCGTGTTACTGTTGTTTTGCATGCGATGTTCGGCGGGAAATTAGTCAGCGAAAAACTAACTCCGCCCGAACGACAGAGACCAGTGACGGGTTGACGACAATGGCTCAATCGTACAGACGACGATATTGTTTAATCAACGGTTCCGCGATCGTTCCTTGATCGCCAGTATCCATAGCGTCTCTGTCAATTCAAGTGCCTAAATTAATTCCTGAAAGTCATTTCGCTATTATTAGGTATACAAATTAATTCGTGGCCTTCTTTTCATAAACGTTATTCTTTATTTACAACAAACAAAAATACAGTCTTGTCCTGAAAATATTCCCCATTATTTTCTACACATGTACGCCAATTCTCGGGCAGTTGGCAAAATCCAACTGAAAACAATAATGGTGGTTTTGAATCCATAATTAATCGTGGGAGAAATTAATTTGTACACCTAATATCCTCGTGACACCCGGTACGTAGTCCCGTTTTAAACATCCACCGTCCCGGTCTCTTTTTCTCCGTGGATCCACGGATCGCTTAACATTCCGTCTGGTTCGCCGGCAGTTCCATCGGAAATGTAGACAGCCGTCTGTAATCGCTCGCAAAGCCGACCATTTGCAAAAGTGTCTCTCAGGCGTTTGCCGCGCGTCCCGCCGCGTAAAGTCGCCCCCGTAACTTTATTCCATGGTGTGTATATGCGAGGCAACTTCGTACCATTACGGTCGGGGGTACATTATACCGCCTCGCAACGTGAGTCGCGTACGCTAACGCGATCCCTGGCCTCGTCTTCGCTGGTGTTAAAGTTCGCGGCGTCTCGGGACCGTGTCATAAACGGAGGACAAGTTTACGGTGTACCGTGTGCATCGATTGGCACGACGAAACTACCATTTACGGAACCGAACACCGATAAAACGACGGTTTTTGTTTCTATTTTTATAGAACAGCAACATGGACGATGCACCGAGGGAGGATCCACTGTTATTACAGCCATGAATCCCGTTTGAACTTCTGCAATTTATCGGTATCGTTTCTTTTCGCGTATCTGTCTACTGTCGGGTCATTTTTTTAAATAGATTATACGGATTTTTTTTTTACAAATGGTGGAACTTTTTTTAATGGAACAGGGGTGTAGATGTTGCATCAAGGGAGGATCTATTATTATTACAGCCATAAATTCTGTGTGAATTTTTGCAATTTATCGGTATTATTCCCTTTCGCGTATCTTTCTAATGTACGGTCATTTTTTAAACAGTATTATACGGATTTGTTTTGTTTTTAGAAATGACAGAAGTTTAATATAGGCAAAGCTTTGTTTGCCCACTCTTTGAATCTCGAGTTTTCTACGAATTTTATTTTTGTACGTGTATATCATTCCTTATTTTTCGAGATCTGTATGTTGTAGAGGAATATTCGAGCTGATAGATTTTTTGCGTAAATGTATTTACATCGATAGGTGTCGATGTTATACCGGGTGGTCGAAGCATTAGATCGTCCTGCGTTAAAATGCATGCTGTGTGCCGTGGTCCCGAGTGCAGCTTAATTATTCATAACGCGTTAACGTCGCTTTGTTTATTCATAAGCGGGATCTCCGGTGTCTGTGTAAGTGGCCCCGGATCGTCCGCCTCCTTAATCTCATTTTTATTAATGGAAGGCTTCTAAAAGGTCCGACGATGTTTTACGATCGGTTCGAGCAACACTTCGCTCGCAAGTTGCACATTTTATTGAAAGAGCTTTCTTGAAAAGGGTCAGAGAAATGTTATAAAAGAAGAACAAGAGAAACAGTTGCTTCGTAAAAAGGGAGGTGAAAAGAATCTGCGACGATCGATTACCTAGATCATTTTATTGAATATAATATACGGGATTAATTCCGAACGATTACAAGTTAAAGATCTCCTATGGGAAATCCTTGCTGCTCCATCTTATGCGAAGAGCTTTTTTATGTAGCAATCGGTGTACAGGTTGCCAATGTTGCATTCGTCAGTCTCACCCTTGACTGTAATGAAAAAGCGTGCGTCGCGTTAAGAGGAACGTATTAATAAATATTTTCACTCTCGAGCAACCGATTGAGCAATCCTACTGTAAACTTTTTACATGTACGACCGAGACATCTTGAAACTCAGATCGAGTTCTGTGCGGGTATCGACTTGACATCGGAAAAAACGATCTGCGATCTACGAAGAGCAAAACTCAATCAGTTGCTCGAGTATTAAGAAATTTATAAAAAGATGTGTCGTTCTTTTGTTTCTTTAGACTATAAATAAATAGTCTTCTGCGGCAACATTTTCAGAAATGAAACTATCGGAGTGATACAGTTCTCGTCGAACGCATAACAACTAGTTTTTCTCCCGAGAATAAGGCTCTCGAGTGGACACATAACTTTAGACTGTTACTTACTGTCATCAAGGCAGTCGGTCGCGATCTTCTTCACAATTACGATGTCTTCAGGTTTATCAGCGTGTACGGTTTCAATCATCTTGTTTATTGGCTCCAGATGAAAGTCAGTCCCTTGTATCTGATGACGAAAAAAAGGGTTAACACTCGGTTACTGAAATTTATGCCAAATTAATATTTGGTTTAACATTTATTTCAGTATTTGAAATAAATTTATCGAGCGGTCGAAGGCCTTTACCTCTAAATTGCTTTTTCCCCTAGAGGAAGCCGAGTCTATGGGACATTTAGGTTATTACGATCTACAGAAAAGGGCTCCTGTTTCGTGCTATATTTTCGAAAATTCACTTACTACGCCGAATCGTTTCATGACGCACGCCTTCATGCAACCCAACTGTTTCATGTCCATTCCTCCGCCTCCTTTTTGAATGGCCGTAACTTGTTCTAGAACCAAGAAATTTCAACGATTATCAGATTGTCGTACTGTCTCGATTTATTCTGACGGTCGGCTCATTCGTAACAAAAGAACAATCGGTTTACGTATAAAAGTGCGTACACTAAACGCCAAATAAGACCATACCTCCGAAATGAATAATTTCGATCTTGTTTGCGCATATTCCTCTCGGTTACTTTAATTACCAACGTCTTAAACAATTGAGCATCATTATGCCTTGTGTGGCATTACACATCGAGTGACTGTGAAGTACAAACGTGCCAATTCGTAAGTATTCGTGTCTCGAGAAATACTTCATTATGTCACCCGGTGTATTAGACAAATTCTATCGCCCATGTTAGAGAGACCTCTGGTGCTCATTCCAGCTACAGTTATAGTCTTATTTGGCGTTTAGTGTATGGATAAAATTACTTCACCTTCTGTTACATGGAATTCTTCCGCGCATGGCTTCATGTCCGGCATCAGGTATTCCATGTATTTGGGTATGATGCTATCTTGATCCAAACCGCGCACGGCCGTCTGGAAATGAAATTCCATAAGTATTTTCAAATGGCGAGTGCATTGAATTCATAAATAAGCGAAATTATAATCGTGAACAAGTGATGTGACTCTTTTGTAACTTTATTAAAAATCCCCCGTTGATTTCATAGTATCTATATGTAGGATCAACGATACGATTTCGATCGGAACGATAAATTTTCGCCACATGTGACCAAAGTTACACCAGGGAATAAAAGTAGTGTAATTAATTTTTTTTGCTCTCTGCATCTATTTGTTCTCACTGGACAAGCAGATTCGATGCATTTATAGCATTTACACGATTCATCGAAATGCAATGTATGTATATTCTCGTAGACGCCAGATCTGAATTGTCGAGCACTTACCGCAGCGGCCAACAGGCATGTCATAGCGAGGATGGTCTTCATGGTTTCAAGCGATATTTATCGGGGTTCGATCGACTCTGACACGCAAGGCAGATATTTCCCAGAATAGTTTCGTCGACTGTTGATCGCTGTTCCCCCGAGACGACATTTATATAGGAAACGCAACGGCAGGTGTCACGGGCTGACAGTGTACAGCAGGAAACGAGATAATTCCCTCGATTTACCCGATTTACGTAAGACACAACCAAGTACACCCGAAACGTTCTCATTACCGCCGGCTACGTGTCGGATTTGTCACGAGAAATGATTGTTTGTAATCACGAAACGAGCCAGTTTATGGAAGTTATGGGATCGAAACGGTGGCATTAAGACGACATCGTAACCCGCGACACCTGTAATTATTCTCGGGGGCGATGGGTACCGAGCGAAAAATCACTCCTCACGATAGTTTAGCTTCTTGTCCTTCTTCGTGGGAAGTCACGAACGAACGAGAAATTCAGAGAGGGTCCACCTCGGTTTCGTTTAGTTAATGATAATTTAAATAGCTATACGACAAAGATTGGAGAACCTCGTTAATTAGACTTCAAAGTTTCCTACGATTCACTGATTCTTAATATTCAGTTTGATTGAATGATTGTCCAGTTCTGATGTCTGTTATATTGTGGAAATTGTGTTTATTTCTATTTCTTACTGTGGCGTAGTGAACACCTACGCCGATCACCTCTGATTTACTTCTAGTGTTTGTCCAGGAAACAGTCGACGAAGGCATACGCCATTTTGCATTCGTCCGATACAGGTTTCACTGAGGACAGGATCAATCATGGAATCATATTCTTCGTATTTAATGATTCATTTTTTTTTTCCTCTATGTATGCAATTATTTTATTCACCTTTTTCGATGCATTCGGCCCCAGATTTTTGCAACTTCTGAACCACTTCCGGTTGGTCGGCGTGCACCATCTTGATGACATTGTTCAGTTTGTCCGCGTCTATCTTCGAATCTTTCAGCTTGAATTCATGGAACAGAAATTACAGCGGGTTCGTAAAATTTTCTCACCTGAACAATTGTTCAACTTTCAATTTACAGACATACTATGTTCAGTAGTTTCATCGTGCAAGCACGATGACACGTAGCTTTGTCCAAGCCCATTGCGGCGTCCTTGTCGAAGATCTCTCGCGGAGTCTCTGAAGCATTTCAATTAAAATGGAATATCTCTCAGATTTTAATTATAACGTTATAAAAAAAACCAAAGCAAGATTTATTTCTTACGCTCGGTGAAACCATTTTCCTTTCCGCACGTTAGAATTTGATCCTTCATAGGTTCCAGGTAGAGATCAGCATGATCCGCGCTGGCAAACTTGAATGTTAACGAAGAGATTATTAGTTCAATTTTCAATACAGAGCCGTGCAATTTCGTACTTACTGCAGCGAACAAGAGGAACACAGCGACCAGAGTACTCTTCATGTTGAGTTGACAGGAATTCCCGCAGATGGATAATATTCTCGACGAACAGAGGTTTCTCAAGCATCGATCGCGATACTTATACCGTGTGTGCAATAGCAAAAAATATATCGTGATTGACAGGCTCGGCCTTTCGTATTTCTTGCAAAAAAATCCGTAATCACCGGTTGGAACATCTCAATTATATTTTTCTATTCTCTAGTCTTTAAGTGAACCTTGAAACACGTTGCGGTCTACATCGGGATTAATTAAAAAGATATTATGCGTTGTGTAATAAATCCAGAATGGTTTAACCAACAATTTTCGGAAATCTAGAACTATTGTTTCGAAAATTTCAAGGAAAAATATAGAATGCTAAATAATTTGTCAAAGTAGGATCCATGCAACGTGTTATTTTTGCCAGAGAATCTTGTACAGTTTAGTAGACAAAAAATTCCTTCAGGTGGCAATTAATTATCTACAGAAATTGCATGTCGAAAAGGAGGTTGCGATGGATATAAGGGTGATTTATCAGTGGTTCACAACAATTGTATTTTCATCTAGTTATTATTTGCTTTAAAGCACAGTTAAATTTATACAATTATATAAGGATTTCTCCCATACACCCTCGATTTTGTAAAACTCGATGTTCCAAAAGGACACGTTGTATCTTCTTACTCCTTGTGAGTGCAAGCCATGAAAGCCGACGCGACTTCGCATTCGTTGGTTATGTCTTTCACTGCGAATATAGTAAGTGGATTTAGATTCAGTCTCATCGATATTACCGTTACCTAATAACCAAACCCTCACCTTCCTCGACGCAGGACGCCATCACCTTTGTTTTTTCGGCCAATTTATCGTCATCTGTGTACACGATTTTCAACGTTTCTTGCAACTTTTCCATCACCACCTGAGTACCGTCCATCTGAAAATAAATTTATTTATTTATATTTATATACTATATATTCGGAAGATGCACTTCATTTTCTTTTATTTCAAGGAAATTCAGAATTGTACAAAGGTTCACATGTTCATGGGAAATTTTACTTACAACCCCCATTCGTTTCATTATGCAGGCCAGCAAGCAAGCAGCTTTATCTTTGTTCTCGCCGCTCAATTTGGTGTCATCCCACGTCGACCACTCGGCTAAAAATGTGCATAATTCGTTTAATAATAGTAGGCATATTTCTAGTGACGCAGAACGCACGGTAGATCGATGTGCAGTCGTAAAGTGTCTTTCGAGATCGGGAATAGATTTGGAAAAGGAAAACGAAAGGGCTGCGCGACTCAATTGAACGATTAAAACGTACGTGGTAACTGTAATTCCTCAGTGCACGATCCTACGTGTTCGTTTATAAGTTCCGCTATCTTCTTTTCCTCCTCCGTGTCACTTCGCACCACTGCCTAGAATGTGCATTACACTTCAAACGATCTCTACACAATGTCATTTTGTAACAATCAAAATCTTGTGGAATGCATATCATTTTCTTTTATTTCAAGGGAAAAAACAAATCAATCTTTCTTTCAGCCGTTTGTATTATCTCAGAAGAATTTCAAGAGGATTCACTCAATGTATTCGTCACTCGATTCGATTTCCTTAACATCGAACGTCTTATTAATACGTTTCTACTGACACTGTTATTAACCAGTCTTTTTATATGAAATAAAAACAAACAGATCTTTACGAAAAAGTCGACGGGTGAAGCGTTAAATGGAAGCCGCGGGCGATTTCGAAGTTGAACATCGAGCGACGTATCAGTTTTTGTGTTCCTCTACTCACCGCGAAAAGGAAGACAGTGCAGATCACCAATAGAGACTTCATTCTCGATCGTCTTGAAATTTCACACGTCGTCAGGAATAACCAGAAACTAACTGATGCCTGTCGATGCCTGAACACGACATTTATATGGCGTGGAAATCTGTCGAACCGTAGGTGTTAGATCCTATTGCGAAATAACAGGAAGAGAAATAATTGCTCTGGCTATCTGATTTTTACATAACACGTTTTAATTGCAGCCTCTGTAGAATAACCAATTCGCGTCGTCCGTCTCCGATTCTTTCGCGAAAATTGCTCTTGATTGATCACGTTCTGAGAACCACGAGATACTGTATCGTGTTTTACCGTCCTATAAACCAAGAAAATAATTGTTGTCGTATAAATTGACATAATTAGTGTCCGTGTTATTCTCATAATTTTTATTATTCAGCGGGGCAGTTATTAAATCTGATCGTGGAAGAACCGTCAGGTTCTGCTCGAAAGATACGAAAAGAAAGTTTTGTATGATTTCTTAATTCTCTTCATGTATAACTATTGTTTTACATGACGATGTCGTAATCCGTGAAACGATGTCTGCGAAAAATCCTCGAACTTTGCCTGTCTGATTGTTTCATCGAATCGTGTATCCCTGCTGTATTTATCGCGTGCAGTCGCAGCGTTGTTAAGTGCATTGCCAAGTTCTTGCCACTGGCATGCTTAATCTTTAGACAATTAGTGCGATCATGAAATAACACGAGTCGGCCGAAGCCTACTAGATACTTACGCTCTACACCTGCTGTTGATTTTTTCGTGGAGTATCGATCACTTATCTTTGTGTATATTCCACACCTGAAATGTATTATGAACATAATCACCTTACATATACGATCTCAGAACATAACGAAATCAGAAATATTATCAGTACTAAATCGTGAATTACGCGATGTATGCAATCTGTTGAAATTATCAAAACTAATCAGACGATCATTTATCTATACATAGTCTACGTTGGTTAATCGTTTTCACAGTTTTTGCTCTTTTGTGCTCCATGAAAGTTCGTGTCCTGCTATTACGTTGTACGTCAAAGGGTTCGCTACACAGTTGGCTGCGAAAAATCTATTTACGTATGTAATTGTCCAGACGATAAATCGAACGGCTTCTAATTAGAGAGAGAGATTGTAAACCAGTTCGCGTGTATCGTGGAACCGCGACGGTGACGCATGAAAACCGGACTGAATTTTTCTTCTCGATCCGTGGCCTCCGGTCGAATTAATTTCAGTATTATTGAAGTTACGACGGGATTAAATCTAACTCGAGTCCCGTGGAAACCGGTTCCAGGATGGCCGCCGATCAAAATATTTCACCGATTCAACCAGTTGTCTGTGAATTTGTCTCGTAGCGCCGGCTGACTCACGGTCGCGATGGAATAAAAAATTAATCAGGCAAATGCGACGTAGCGTGGGAAACTTTTGTATATGATTGCTAAATCGGTGAAACGTGTCGGACGATCGTTCAAATAAAATCAAAAATAGTATGCGTTGAAATTTATACGAGCAAAACTGGAGGCTCCTTCAATCGTAGTTGATATTAGGTGTGCTAACGAGTGATTTATTATTCTTGAGAGGAGGTAATAGTTTGGCGATAGACAAAAATAAAATAATATTTAAATTGCCTGGAAAACATACTGAATTGACAATAAGTAGGTACATCTAATATATTTGATTAGAATAAATTCAGAAACATTTCAACAAACCATCGTTTAATAACAATTGTTATACGAATACGTAACATGTCATCCTGTTCCCGTAATATTGTCATTTTCGTATCGATTATTCTTAGTCTACTTTATTGGAAGGGACAATGGATAGTTGTCGATACAATAGAACAATACGAACTAACAAAAAATATATGTGAGTACATTTGACGATGGAACAGCCATAGAATATCGCTGGAAAAAATGAGAGACGAATTCTTGGAAAATTCAAAAAAGTACACGGACAATAAGGTTCAGGGGTGTGAAAATTTAAGAAAAGAGTATTAATTATGATTGTTAATTTTATACAATGGATACTGTAGTATTTGGGAACACAGTTAATCAAAATTTATTATTCTGTGCTTACAAATCGATTGCTCATTCATCGTAAAGCAACCATAGGGGTTGCGTTAACAGCCTGTAGCCTTGATTCGAAGGTTTCGATTATAGTTTGTCGTCGATCGTTGAATCGTGTGTTTAAACTCTTCTACAGTTCGGTTTAGTTTTGTTTCGGCAGCCCATGGCTTCGTCTTGATTACGACGACGACGACGACGACGATGATGTTGAGAATGTGGATGGCGAAAGGACGGAGACTCCGTCTCGGTCACATGATCACTCTGCGAATTGGCACGCAGAATTTTTTCCTGAGAATCATTCATGGAGCTAGGTACAGCTGCAACAGAAAAAAAATAATATTATATCCTCGAAAATTAAGTTGAAATAAAATGATTAAGGTAAAGGGAATGATGGGATAGCGTCCAAGATTTAACTTAAACTTAATTCAGTTCTATCCTACCATAGGGTATACTGGAAGATTCGCAAAGAAACGCGTTAATTATTTCATGACACATCTTTAGATTGCAATCTCTAAATCTTCAATTTTTCTCTTGAAACGTTTATTCGAATCATAACCATAAACATGCTTTCACTGAATGCACAGTACAGACTCCTGTCGATTATCATCTGGCTTGTTCTACACGATTATTTTTTTCCCCCCCTGGGGGGGGGGGGAGGCATTGGAACCTGTCAAGTGCATACTTTATTGCCCCTCCGCTTTTGCTGCCGAGGCTCGGACTTCGGACAAAAAAAAACAAATTTACGATGGTCTGAAGCATTTTTCCCTATAAGATTATTATTCTGGCGGGGACCTGAGTTCGGGACGATAATCGAGAAGAGTCTGTAATTATGACACAAATGATTCGGTATATACGAACGATGCGGATTGTTGCCGACTGAATGCAATCTTGCGATTGTATGTTTCACCATTGTTTTTCAGACAATAGTTGTTACATTCTTGCAATCTTTCGATTCTGTTCAGTTCGATTCGCACACGTGCAACGTAACTCTTCGATACCATATACTATTGTATTTGCGACTTTTGTGCACCAAACAAAACGCCACATGATTTACATCCGCGCTGTGATCGTGATGATTGGGCGTGACATAAGATTACCTCGGGATCCGTGTCGAAAATGCATTTCCCGAATTGCCACGCGACCTCGCATCCCTCAGTGGCGGTCACTGAAAAGTAAATTTAGACGTTCCGGTATTGAAGGTCTCTTGAAACCGTGATACGAAAATCGTTTCGTATCGATCCTGTACACGCGTGTGTGTGTGATATATAGACTACGTATTTTATGCATTTATAGGTTGTAGAGCTCTGTGAAATACAAGAAAAGACAAAACTTTCGACAGATGAACCGAGTTTTTTTATTTCATTTTGAATCTAATAATATACTTGAGGGAAGAAGAAAATTTCTAATTCGGTTTCTGTCTTTATGAGTTACTTTATAAAATGTCATTTTGCATACAAATCCGCAGTCGAGTGATATGGAAATACCTAGTGGTCGGCAGACTTCGATCGTGTGATCGACTCGCGGTGCAACCTCGTCCACCATCAGGAGGCGGGAGTTCTTCGCGAAAAATTCGTACTGGATCTCGTCGTTCTTCATCTGAAAGCAGAACATATGAACAATTCAGTTCTCAGCTGCGGAATATATTCACCGAAGCGAAGTTAATTGAGTGCACCGGTGTTTTCGAATACAATTAATTCACAATGTCGTAAAAAATGTATCGTTGCTAACCGCTTTGGTCGTAGTCAATATACATCTCATGTAGCACATCAGCCTCTCGTCCTTTGGAAACTCGCCTTTGTGTTGACCGTCCAGAAGTTCTGCGCAAGTGAAATCATTCTTAATCGATGGGATTCGATGAAGCTTCTTATAAAAATGTGAATCTTTCCAACAGTTACTCTACTTTGCGACACATTCAGTAACGCAACAACAATACGATAACACAGCAAGGGGAAGGGGGGTGATCTATGATAAATATCGTTCGCCAGTATTGGACGTAAGTCTCGTGTCGATGTACCTTTAGGGGCGTCGGTCTTCTTCGCGCAGACTTTCCTCAGATTCTTGATCGATTTCTTGGCCTCCTCTATGGTCATTTTTTTCTACGAATGCAAAGACCGGTCACTTGAAACGCCTCATTCGCGGGATCGAGAATGATCGAATTGAACTCACACACTCCGCGTCCTGTACGGCCATAAGGACGACCGTCACAGCCACTGCGAGGCAAATGCTAAGGCTCTTCATGTTAACTCTCGGCTATTCCCACCTGGATCGTGTCTACTTCTTCTTCTTCTTTTCGTCTAGCTCTGCAAATCCTGATACGCACTTGCGTGCTATAAACAGAAACGACTGAAACACGTTGGAAGCAGGTATGCAAAAGTAACTTGTAACTTAGAGTTATGCTTATTGAATACCATTAGAGAAGAATTGAGGCAACATGTACATACGTCAAAAACAAAATTATAACGAAACCGTGCAATAAAGAAGAGAAGTTATGGAAATTGTGAGCACTACGGATGTTTATGCAAATATAGATTTGCGTTGCCCAATTGACAGAAACTGGAATCAAATCAAAGTTTCTTTGGTATATTTATTATTTTACTAGATTCAAAAGAAAATACAAACCTTCAACTTTATCAGACTTTCGACTACACAATCGTATGTATGACTACAACTAGTCGACTACACAATCGTAAGTGCTATAAATGCATAAAATCCGCAATGTACTGATAAAACAGGATACAGTAAATCCTTGATGAGTGTTCGAACGCTCCTGGACACCGACAAGGAGAGGTCTCACCTGTGTAACGCTGACTTTCTAATGAGGTTTACGCCAGTGATTAAGCTAGGAATTGAGAAGCCACATGTGGCCACTAGTTTATAAAATATTAAATGTTCAATGTCGAGGAGCCTTCGAACACTCATCGAGGATTTACAGACTTTACGATTCGCTGTATTGGGTACCTTGTAATTAATTTTGGTTAATCCCCAAGTGCTATACCTGGCTGAACGGTGTCACAGGATCGCTCTGTCGTCGAATAGATCAGAAACTATGGTACACATCCTCGGCTCCGTTCACCCTCGATGAAAATCGAACGCGAAACAAGGAACCGTACCCTTTTATACTCTGTCGCGATGGGCCAGCAGAGCAGTAGGAGAACGAACAATTTTTGTGTCTCCGGTGACACACACACACACACACAGGTGGGCCCTGTGATTACCGTGTATCAACCGTGCGATTAGAGTTCGCCCGCAACCTCCACTTTTGTAAACAATTCCCGGGAGGTTAACAGCTGCCGCGCCGGAAAAGGAGGAGCGACGACCAGCCGTACGTAATAAGTTGCATCGGGACCGCGCAATGATTATGCAAGGATTGCGTTCACCGCCCGATGTGACTCCACGGATCGATTCTGTTAAGATACCTGTTATTCCGAACGACGAATCGTATTATCGTTCTTTATCGAGGTCGAGGTTGAATATCGTTGGTCGGAGGGGTCGTAATCGTTCCGTTCGCGATTTTGTGAGAAGAAGTTAAGGGGGCATCATTGTAATTTTTCGTACATGTTTGTTCACATTTCATGGAAGCACATTACAATTTTCGTATTTCGAGTATATTCGAATATACCGCAGTGGTTCTTCTTCGATCAGTGAATCGTAGATGAGAATGATTATATGGAGATTAATTCTATTTTTCGCTTCATCTCTATTTTTCAACGAAAAGATCCGCGGCCTCGAGTGGTGTCGAATCATTCGAAACGTCACTTCAATCAAGCACGATCGTACTTCTATCATAATACGTTTATTTGTATTTCATAAAAATAAATGTACAAAGCTAATATGGTTATCGTTCGGTTGGTTCTTCCGTGAGGTTCTTGTTTTCTGAAAACGATTTCGTGTAGCGACTGTTTGGTTGCACATTCGTTCGCTTACGGAAAGAAAAACACTTCTGGGTCCGCTTCGTAGACGCATTTCGTGTATTGGTAGGTCATTTTGCACGGTTCAGTGTCGTACTCTGTGCAACAGTGATTTCGGGTGGTTGAGTATGGACTCGACTATTTTTCTACTACGTTTATTATACACATATAAGTTATCGAAATCACAGGTCTTACCTCTGTTTTTGCACAGCCTCACCGCGGCCTTCACTCGTGGCGCCATGTCAGGGGGCATCGACGCGTCTATTTGTTTCATTACCATCTTGAAGTCGATTTCATTGTTTTTGAACTGAACAGCAAACATATCGACGAGTGTCGTTAACTCACACGATGGTTGATTAATAATTAATACGCGTTAATGTTTTCCGTGTATTAGAATTATATTAATCTTACGCTTCTCATCGTCTTCATGATACAGTGCGTGTAACACTCGAGATTAGGATCGTCCGGGAATTCTCCCCTTTTTATTCCTGCGACTAGCTCTGAAAGTGTGCACAAGAATGCCAATCAATTTCTATGTTTTCCTAGCTTATATAAAAAAATACACAGAATATTTGTTAACGATTGAAAAGAGGATCTATTGATATCTCTAATGACCTTAAGACTCTATGGATCAATGGCGAAAAATTGCACCGCGTTATACTATGATTAAATTAAAATTGTTTAATATTACCTTCGGTCGTGTCGATCTTTTGCAGACATGCGTTCCGCATACTCTTGGCAATTTTCTCCATTTGTTCCTGACTGACGGCCTACGGATCGACAAAATTAATAACGACACCAAATCCTAGAAACGAATCTACTTTTTTCGATCGATCCATTCACGTTTCGTACGATCGATTCGTTCACGTAACTTACACTTTCCACAGGGGTCAACGCCGCGATTACTAACGAAATTCCAACGAACAACTGCGACGAGCCCATCTTTCTCGAGTTTCGCGACCGGAATCAGAAAACCGGGACTAAAAGTGCAAAGATCTGCGTGTTTTTGTTCGGTCCTCGGCCTTATAAAACCCCACGGTTGGTCATTTGCATGTCGATGACTGGACGTTCGCAACGAAATTACGATGGAAACCGGTGTTTTTCGGCCCCGATGACAAGTTAGCTGATTTTATGTATCGTTATATGAACCACCCGCTTACTTCCGGAATAGGAATCGTGCAATTAAAGTTTCGCGGATTACTGGCGGTCGTATTTTCTCGAATTCCATCCGAATAGATGTAATCCTAACCCTATAACGCCTGAATTTTCGTTTTAAGAGAAAAGAAAACGATTTTTATACATATTCATATATATTCATAGATACGAAAAAATACATGATACTAATATTTTATTTCATAATTTAAAATACTTAATCATACGACAGCAGTGAAAACGAAAGGGTTAAGAGTTTCATCGTTAATTCAACGGACCCTCCGTATCATCCTGTATTATCGTATACATATGTCCCATTTCTACTTAACTTGTGGGCACGTCTGCGCGACAAACTGTTCTCCGTTAGATAGAATACTCATCCTGAACCATACGCGCGCGCAATCTTCGTCGTATCACGTGGCGGAGGCGTAACGAACGTGTAAATCATTTAAGCACGAAACTGCCGACTGGATTCGCTTTCGAGCAACCGATACACACAGTTTATATTACCTGCCCGTGCGATCCGGTGCGTGTCTTCGGAGCCAGATCGTCCCTTTGGCCCGCGGTTTCGTGCGTTATAACGAACAGAGAAGCAAGTTCGTGAACGTTTGCTCGTTTCCGTCCTGGACTTCCATCCGCGAACGCTGGTTGTGACTCGCGTGAATGTCGAACCCTTGTATCTCGAGAGACACCCTTAAAACAGGACCATCTGCCCAGATACCGACCCTCCACGACGTCGCCATTAGTCCGAGGGCCACTCAACGTCGGCTCGATAATTACATTTTTTTCTGTCTCCCTTTCTTCCGTCTCGATCGTCCCACGTCGTCTCCACGCGATTAATTTCCACCTGATCGTCTATCGTCCATCCAAAGGGGACCCACTCGTGCTCTTCTTCTTTCGTCTTGAAGAGCTTTTGTCACGATCAACCGGATTCCACCCTTATTCCTTCTTATCCGAAATGGACCTGGGGTTCGTGAGGGTCGAGCCAATTCTTTGTTTTTTGTCTCCTTGTTTTTGTTTTTTAGAATTAGACGATTTATGGTTGTCTCTGGGATACCTTTTGATTCGTCTCTCCGTAGATTAACATTCGATTCTATCGTGTGCGTCGCTTTGGGACCATTTTGAGCGACGTTTTTGTATACGGTTTCGATCTCGGTGAAATAGGTTACCCGGCGAAGGATGAACACGTTCGAATCGATACGCGTCCAAGGATCTCCGATAACAGCGAAAGTCGACATCACGATTTCGCGGATTGTATCGTTGGAAAACGGGCACGCAGGAGCCAGATGTGGGTGAAGGAAGCCCGGTCTGTTGCGCGATCGAATTCTTCGGGTTCCACACGATGTCGCCTCGTGACGAAACCCCGTTATTGCCGAGTGTATTTTTAGTCGACGTGAATTATCGCCGATTGCGTGAAATTCGACTGAAGATCACGTTCACGAGTGAATCCAAAACACCCGAAGAAATGAATATGATCTTACAAGACAAACGTAAAGTAACTAATAATGATACTGTGAAAGTCCTCTCAATTCGTTAGATTTCGCCCCACTGTTAGACAAGGATCCTGCTTCCCGTTACTTTTTGAAGTTACCGCCCAAACGACGCTGCGCATCGAACCGCCCACCATTTACGAAATCCTATTACCTGCTTCACAGGAGACCCGGGCAAATTAGAAGAGGCGAAAATGCTCCCCAAGAAGCATAACGGCTTTGTCGTTGAAGTTCCTTCGTGTCCGCGGAAGGGTTGAAACAACAAAGAAAACCGATTCCTCTCTCACTTCCCCTTGATCCTCTATTTCCTTGCCCGTTAACGAGCCGACAATCTCAGCTCGTGTTCGACGCAACTATGACCTTCATCCTGATCCATGGAGGGGTAACACGGAAGGAAAATCTTGTTGGGGCACAAGGTAGAAAAAAAACGGGGGGAAAACGGGAACGATAGGGCCAACAAAACATTCGCGGGGAATCGTGGAAAGTAGGAAGGGCAGCGAACGAAGTATGAGAATAACGTGACCCCCGCCCGGTTGGTCTAATTAAACGCCTTTAATTAGCGATAATAAGCGAGCTTGCGTCTCGCGGCAGCTCGAGGATCTTGCGTAACGAACATCTTGTCGATAAGCCGGTCTTTCGTCGAGAATTACAATAATACAGCCTCGGAATAATCGTGCGGCCGCGGACGCATCAAATTGGATGGAAGATGTTATCGGTGTAGGATATAGCCGATCTCATCCTTCCTAGTCTGTTATTTTTTCTTTTTTTTAGTATTACGTGAGATTTAAGTCTGTTTAGCTGGCACAAACTAGATGATCGTTATTGGAAGTCATTATTATGCGAATAAACGTAACTTATATTTCTAGTTAAGTATGATATCGTTTCGTTAAGATCGAGCTAACTTTTGTCTCTCGGCTTTGGTATGGTAAAATAGATACAGACTTCTCTTGATTTTATCGTCTGGCTTATTCTACACGATTATTGTTCAGTTTTTTTGCCATGTTTGTTGCCGAGGCTTCGGGCAAAAAACGAATTTACGAGGGTCCGAAACATTTCTCCGTATACGATTATTGTCCCAGTGCGGACCTGATTTCGGGACGATAATCGAGAGGAGTCTGTACTATGAATAACATCGTGAGTTTGCTTACGAGCTTTTAATTAGAGACAAAGAAACGAAATGCGCCATGGGTACGACTATTTCTGCTCAATATCATAGAGAATAAATATTAAAATAGGAACAATTCGCTAAGAAATGATCAAACGCGTTTGTATTTCGAAGAGTCATCGTCTTTCCATACACATACACACGTTTTACGCTCTTCGGCACAATGTTGCAACCGTTCCGTTGTCAGAATGGCGGCGGGGCCCGTAAACCGTAGCTCGTAAAAACGCGAAGTAAATGAACAGTTCGGACGTGAAACGCGTTCTCGTGGACGGGCGGAAACTTCTCCCGTCCGCCTAATAAATTAATCGCGTGACCTGTCGCGATTAAAGGCCGCCCTTTGTGATGCTAATTACCGTTCAATTAAAACCCCGGTGTCTTCGGACCCGTCGCTCGAATTAGCTTCTCAACCCGCGCCGATTCGAAGGAACTTACTTTCTGCGGGAAATTTAAAGCAAATTGCTTAAAAAATCCAGGCTCCTTGGCTGGAGTCCGATGATGCAAAACGGACGTCACGATGAGGGAGAGCTCGGAATCCGAGCCCAGGGCTTTTGTATAAAAAGAAAATGTTGAGCAATTAAACCGTACATACACGTCGCCGTAGGTAGGCTCGGGATACGGATTATTTTAATTTCATATTCGTGGACGTATCGCTTCGAGCGTGAATTTCCGCCAAGCTGAATATTTTCCACAGCCGGAATAGGAAACGGAGTCGGCGAAAAAAAAGACGATTTCGACTCGTATCGCTCTTTGCTGTTTTTACTTCTTGCTCCGTGTGTATGAGACCGCGTGCACACAGAGACGCGTGGCATAATCGTATCCGTTTCCTGGGTTTCGAGCTCGGTCCACGTCCATTTGACGATAAACAAACTGAAATCGTAGCGCTACTCAAAATAATCATCGTACAGTTTTCTACCTCCGAGCGTGTTCCCCTTTTCCCTACGATTTTTCACGGCAGCCGACGATCCTCTCCAGCCCGTTTTAATGGTTTAATAAACTCCACTTGAAACGTCGAACGAGCCTCTGCGTCTATTCGAATTTAAACACGACTTTGAGTACAGTTATATACTGGTTTAACGTAATTTTAATTTATTAAACTACATTACTGCTCGTATTCGACAGAATGAACGACAGTTTTCTGGATGAATTTATGATTTATGGAATAACGAAACATGGAGTGTGAATGATATAAAGTATTTCGCCGCGTAGAAGGTGTACTGGGTGTTCTGTAATTAATAATGGAATAACAACCATAACGATTCTATTGTAATACCTTCGTGAATTGACGAAATAAGTACATTCTGCACAAGTACTAACGAGTACTTAATGATCACTTCATGTAAAATTGAACTCTGTTTCGTTATTAATGTTTCTGTTACAGCTACAATTAGTCAAAGTAAAATTTCCATCATTATTGTAATGATCGTCATAAGGAAATTTAAGATTCTGAGATTTATTTATCCCTAGCCACTCGGAGCCTCGCGGAGGCACTCTGATCGCATTAGCGAGTAGCATGGAATCCTTGCATATTACGACCAATCAATGACGCTTAACTCAAACAAAGGGGATTGAACCGGGGGAAGAACAAAGGTGGATCGTAATGAAGCCTGACACCGGGCAATTAGCGGGAGTCCGGCTCGTTTTTTGATTTAATTGCCGCCGAATGTCGAGCCGTAACGACATTATAACTGGCTTTCATCGTTCCAGATATCGCGTCGAAGGGCTGACTTTAACATCGTCTCTATGATTTGGATGACGACGAAACTAAACGTAAAAGTTGTTTTATGTTTTTCCATTCCGAATGCTTTAATACCAATTTATAAGACACTGGTCATTACGTATTTCATTATACGATGCCTATGATTAGCTCTGGACAATTTTGTGTCGCAGTTTCAATAACCAATTACGTAACAATGACGAGCTCCTGAACGACAGGTAATAACTATACGATGTAATGGTCTGTCACTGCACTATAATAAAATTTACGATAATGTCGTTCGAGAGATGTCGAGAAACAATGTCTGGAAACGTTGATTTTCGGGACATTTCGGAAGATGATTTCGCGATCGCATGCAGGATTTCAGAAATGTTGTTTTTAAGAAACATAATGCTGATTCGATATGGGAGCGTGTGTGTGTGTACCGAGAATACTGTAATTTCCTTAATTATAAAAATGCTCT